TTTTTTTTAGTTTTTTAAAATTTTTTTTTTTTTTTTTTTTTTTTTTTTTTTTTTTTTTTTTTTTTTTGGTGTGCCAGGGATCAAACTCAGGACCTTGCATGCTTGCAAGGCAAGTGCAGTGCCACTGAGCTAAATTCCCTGGCAACATAGTGTCTCCTAATGTGTTTGTCACCTTGAAGTCATATCATAGTCTTTTTCATATAATTATTTCCATTTATGACTTACCCAATATTTTTCTCCATTATGGAGTCTTCCTTTGCCAGGCTCTGCATATTTATAGCTTCATGATGTACTCTGAATGTCTTACTCCCCATTGTTTGCTTCATAGCACAAAATACAAAGCTTTACTTGTAGATCTGCAAATGTTGAGAGATGAGTCATCATAGAAATTCATTGAAATGACAGCTTTGCGTTGCCAAAGGGATAGAGTTAAGTGAAATTTTCTGGAAATACACAGTGTTAATTATATTTAGTTCTCAAATACATACAATTATGTACCACATAATCATTATCAGTGTACTACATGTATAACAGTGGTCCCATAAGATTGTTTTGTATAGTGGCCCATCATGGCTGTTTTAGCTGTGGTGTTCACACCATGATGAAATTGCCTAATGACACATTGTAATATATGCATGATTGTACATTTAACCTTGTAAGAACTTAGGTAAAACAATGTAGGTCCTGCCCTCAACATTTTATAATCTACATCTGAAAGCAGCACATAGGGAAAAGTGTTGAAGGGAGTTAGTTCAGAACAGTTGTTTCTAATGGTAAGGGGAAAAAAACGTTGCTATCTTCATCAGCCTTTTTAAACACATGAAGGTCAACACCCAGAGTCCATCTTTGACTTTAAATATTATAAGGTTACAACTTCTAGATAGTATGTTAATATTTACAAATACCATTTGGATGATCTTTGGGTTTTTTTTTGGGGGGGTATACTGATGCAGAAAAAATTCATGGTTGCAAAGCAATTTAGAATGAGAAGAAAATAAAATAATTCAAGTATTGAAGAATAGAGGAAAAATAAGACTTGCAGAAATACCTTAGTTCAGCCTCCATAAGGTACCTGTCAGAATGTTCTCTCCCTTGTGGGAAGTCATAATTATTTACATGGTCTGTTAGCCATACAGGAAACAAAGATCAAAATCCATTCTTTTGAAAACATATTTAGAAGGAAATACTTTGGTGGAAGGAAATGAGACCACATTTATATATAGTTAATTTTGTTTCTCAGGCTTCTGCAATTAAAAAAAAAAGACAACACATGTAAGCAGAATTTGAAGTTTTCAAAGCTCTGCTTAATAATTGTCACTTTTGTTGTCTTAGATTAGTGATTCATATACACTGTGACTGTACATCAGAATCACTTGGAGAACTGTTAAAAATGATAAAGAAATAGAGATAACCACACTGTTAAACCTTAAAAGTAAATCTCATCATCAGTATTATTTTTAATCAACTTTAACGTTAAATTGCACCTTTCTAATATCTATTTCTCATATCCATTCTTCAGGTACAGAATTTTTTTAAAGGCAAATAAATTATCAATTTTGGTTGCTAACACCCAAATAGTTGTTACTGTAAAAGACCAAGGCACTAGGGCTTATGCTTTTCAAATTGAGAAATTTGGGGGGGGGGCGTGTGCTGGGGATCGAACTTGGGTCCTTGTGCTTGCAAGGCAGGCGCCGGAACCACTGAGCTAAATCCCCAGCCTTGTTTTTCAAATTGAAACTCCCCCAAAGTCAACAAATTTCTATTTTCTTCGGAATGTTTCTGAAAAGAGAGGGTTCACAGAAGTCTTAAATTCCCTACTAGTAAATTATTTTCTCTCTGAACTTCAATACAAAAAGGCATTGACTGTTAACAATCTCTTAAATTGTCATTCAGTTTAGGCTGTCATGATATCCAGATTTGGAACTGACGAGAGCAAGTATCTTAAGTTAACCCTTTATTAAAAATGCAAGTCCGTGTTGGAGTGTAGCAATTTTAGTTTTCTAATTTGTCTGAGCCAGTAGAAAGTTCCTTTCTCTTCCCCTTTCTCTGCCAGGTCAAGGAGGAATTTTTTGGTTGCCTTTCTGAGAGTGCATTAACACAATTATTCATTATATCTGTTGACTCCTGTGATAATTTTCAGCAGACAGAAATAATATGATTGGGTTGGTTTTGGATACACATAAAAAGAATAAGAGTTTACCACACAGTGGGACTCTGGGCACAAGCTTGTTGCAGTTGAGACTAGGACCCCTGAAAGGTGAAATCAAAGATGATTAAGCCATGTAAGTGATAACTTTACTAGGTTTCTGGATGGTACATGTATTGTGAATGTTGAACTTCATTTACTGTATTATAGGTAATGCATTCTTTTGTGTCTCCCTCTTGCCCCCTTTGTATTGAGGATTGAATTCCAGTCCTTCTCATTGTGCTACATCTCCATCCCCATTTTTAATGTTGAGGCTAGGTCTCCATAAGTTGCCATGGCTGGGCTGGATCTTGCTATGTCCTGCCTCAGCCTCCCAGAACAGAATGTTAAGATAACAGGTGTGAGCCACCAAGCCCTCTGCTTTTCTCATGGCAGTCGGCATGCATACAGAAGAAACTGTAAAGCCCAGAATATGTAAAACCAGACTGGGAAGCAAAGGGCTGAAGGGTTGAGAGGCAACATTTTTGTTGTTAAGGTGAAAATGATCCTTTTTACTATGGGAGAAAACATTAAGAATATTTTAAATGTTGTTAATTGAATCCATTGAAAGGGTGATTATTTTCATTTGTTTACCTGAATATGACCATTGAAATGAACTGGGTGCAGCGGCTAATTTTGAAACTTTACCTTCCCTTTAGAGCCTTGCAAAGGACCATCGCATGAAGCTTATGCAACAGCAACAGGAAGTGGCTGGGCTTTCTAAACAGCTGGAACATGTCATGCATTTTTCTAAATGGGCAGTTTCCAGTGGCAGCAGTACAGCATTACTTTATAGCAAGCGACTGGTAAGATACAGTATAGTATTTAACATTCTGTAAAAATGTACAGCAAAACAGTAGTCATTGGAATGCTTAACATTTTGAAATGAGCCACATGCGGTGGTGTATGCCAGCACTCCCAACTATTCAGCAGGCTGGGGCAAAAGATTGCTTGTACTGAGAGTACAAGGGCAACCTGGGCAATGCCACAAGACACTGTCTGCAAAAAAATACGTTCAGAAATGCACACTAGTTATTTATGCTTGAGTGCCTTTTACCTGTTGCTAATTTCAATCAAAAATGTTTAACTGGCATGTTTTTGGTATACTTTCAGTTTTAATCTGTGTTCTTTTCTATTTACTGTCTTCATGGCAGTTGAACTTAATACAAATAATAAATAATGATAGTAAACATTTACTGCTCACCTGTAGGTTCCATGGTCTGATTCTAAGCATTTTCCGTGGTGAACTACTTTGGCCATAATTTGAGTGTGCAGTCGTTGCATGTCACCTGGGAATGTTGCATGGTACCAGGCTGTGTGTTTCCAACACACATCCTGGTGCAGATGTTCTTAATCCAGGGAGACTGTTAAATTTTTAATAAACTGAAGCAAAGCAAGATTTTTTTTTGTTTTTGTTTTTTTTTGTACCAGGGAATCAAACCAAGCAGGAATTTTTAAGAATGCTTTTATGTCTTGACTTCCAATGGCAAAGTTTCTTTTTGACGTTTGCTACTAAAAGCACAGAGACATGCTGTGAAGTGTAACACCCAAATCAGTTTTTTGTCATCTAGTCTATTTTTTGGAGCAAAGTGGCAGAAAGTTTCTGTGTAAGTTTAAATACAGAAATATTGTTCTGTTTTTAATTTGGTTTTGGTTTTTTGTTTTGCAAGTACTAGGGATTTGAACCCGGGGCCTCCGGCATGCTAGGCAAGTGCTGTACCACTGAGCTGCATCCCACCCCTGGAAATGAACATCTGGAAAGGATTTTACAAAGCAGGCTCAAATACTGAGTGGCTATTTGGATACTGATTTGTGACTTTCTAAAATTACTCCTAATCATGAATTATATTCAAGTTTTATGAATTTTTTTCCTCTTAAAATTACCATGATAGAATTTCAATCCTGAATCTTTTGTTCTTGACTGCTTTGTCTGTGGAAAAACATTAATGCATACCTCTGCTTCTCTGTAACTTACATTTTTCTGAAAATCAAAAAAGAAAGAGAAAGTGAGAGAACTGATTTATTGTTTTATTTTTTCAACTTGACCCATAATGATTTTGGGGTGGGTACCAGGGATTGAACTCAGGACCTTGTGCTTTTGAGGCATAACCACTGAACTGAATCCCTGGCCCAATAATGAATATTTTTGTGTGTGTATATAAGATAAATTCATATAATTAGATAAGCATTCAATCAACTATATCAATTAAATTTTTCCCTTATTTCATTTATGATTATCATGTAGAAAAAAATAGCAATGGAATCAGTCTCTGGAAATGATGGAGATAGTTCTTTGTATTACTCATAGGGGGAAATGAGCAATTGCACATAGGGATAATGTGTCCAAAGGCTGAGCTGAGAACAGATGCAGGGCTCTAGTTTTATATATGTTGCAGAGGAGTGTTGGTCTACCTAACAGTGTGCAACTTGTAGACAGAGGCAGTTAATCAAGCTGTAACTGTTTTGTACTTTAGCATATCATGGTGGCCTTGATCAAGTAAAAACAGGATCTTACGAGAACAGGAGGTTGTAGAACCTTACCTAAAGGGACAAAGTTAGTTAATTTTGTTTGAAATATAACAAGAACAACAGCCATAGAGAGGGGGAAGTCTAAGGGCAAATTGCTTAGGTTCGGAAAATTTGTTTCTCCTTCTCTGTTAAGTCCTGCTTTAAGGCCATGTCACAGAAATTAAAGGGTATGGAATATTGCTCAGTGGTAGATGGCCCAGGGTTTAGTCACCAATACCAAGCACACATGCGCGCGCGCACACACACGCACACACACTCACAGCACAATTTTGTGGGTTTTTTTTCAAATATTTAGAAAGATTAAGAATCACTCCAGAGTTCTTATGCTTATAAATATAGCCATATTTACATACAGTCCTTTAAATGATGGATTTTATATGCTTTTTCAAAACTAAAAAATACCCACAGGTCTTAAATTTCAAGCTTAGACGACAACTCTTTAAGAAAATTTTATTTTATATATTTGAGGAATAAAACATGTTTTAATATACATAGTAAAATTACTACAATGAAGCAAATTAACATTCACTTGCGCATATTAACATTCAATGAATATAGTTCTCATGCTGTACCTTAGATCTCTAGATTTACTCATCCCACCTAACTGCAAATTTATAACCCTTGATTTACTTCTCTGTGTTATCACCCCCTCCTCCCTGTAACCACCATTCTACTTTGTTGCTTTGTATTTTGGCCCCCCAAACCCGAAGTCCATGGGAAAACATTTAGCAACTAGTGGACCCTTGACTTAGGAACTCCATTGATTCCGGAGGGCTGGTTGTAACTTATGTTGATTGTAAGTCAGTACAAATGAGATCTAGATGTTTACCTGGGTGCACACAATAGATAATAAGAGGTGGATGAATCTTCCATTCACCTAATGAACCCAAGTTGTTTGTGTGTCATGCTGGTCATAACTTGAGGGTCCACTGTATTCTTTTTGTGTATGGCTAATTTTACGTAGCATAATATCTTCGAGGATCATGCATGTTGTCACAAATGACAGGATTTCCTTTTTAAAGGATAAATAACCTTTATGTGATATTAATATGTATACAGGTCACAGTTTCCTTATTCTTCCATCAGTGGATATTTCAGTTGTTTTTCTGTCTTGGCTATTATGAATAATGCTTCAGTCAACATGTAAGCTCAGGTATCTCTACTAGCTGTTTTCATTTCCTTTAGGAATATAGCAAGCAAAGGATTTGCTGGGTCACGTGGTAGTTCCACTTTGAATTTTTTCCATTATGTTTTCTATAATGGTTCTGCCAATTTATATTTCCCAGACAGTGTACAGGTTCTCTTTTTCTCCCAGTTCTCACTTATCACCTCTCATATCTTTATTGCCACTTGTAACAAGTGTGAAGTGTTACCTCATTGTGAGTTTGTGATTCTTTGCTGATTGGTAATGTTAAGCTCCTTTTCATATATCCATTGTCTTGGGAAAATGTCTGTTCAGATATTTTACCTATATTTTTAATCCGGCCACTTGGTTTTTGCTGTTGTGTGGGTTTCTTATATATCTTCAGTATTAACTCTCACCAAACAGATGGTTTACAGATATTTTCTTTGAGTTTTTAGGCTGCCTTTTACTTATTTACTTTGCGTGCTGAGACATTTTAGCCTCTAGGTAGTTTTATTTTTTCTTTTTGTTGCCTGAGCTTTTGGTGTGATAACCAAAAAAAAAAAAAAAAAAAAAAAAAAAAGAAAAGTCATTGCTAAAGTAGGGCCAATATCAAGAAACTCCTTTATGACATCTTTTGGAAATGCATCCCTCACCCTTTTAAAAATTTGAGATAGGTTCTCAACAGTTACACAGAATTCAGCCTTTTCTTCCTTCTACCTCGTACACACACAGTTCTAGGATCACAAGTGTATGCCATTAGACCCAGTGTCAGGGCTAAGCCTCCTGAGGAAGAACCAGGAGGGGTCTGTGCATTTGTCCTGAGTGAGTTCCCCTCAAGATAAAGAAAGGACATGGAACCAATCATCAGCAAAAGAGCAGGAGAGCCAGAGCTGCTTGTCTTTATTCCTTATGCTCTGGCCGTTATCAGACATAATGTCATTGCTGAAAAAGAACAGCTATGTGTCCTTGCATGAGCATACCGCACATACGTGATTGATTTATGGTTAGATAAGTAAGCCTTGTGTACCTGCGCTAACAGTGGCATCATATCCTCAAGCGGCCTTAAAACACCTGGGCTTTGATATTTCTTGTAGCGGCTCCTTCACCCAACTAGCACACAGATATAATGAACCATTATTTATTTTCTGTACTAACCAGGCTTTATGGCACTTAAAATTATCTAAGCATGCATTAGGAGGTTTGTGAAGTATAATGGTTTACATTTTAGATGGGTGATAAATCATTTTGGTAGCAAGAGAATTCTAACTTGTGTACTGAATGACAATAAAATATAAAATAAAATTTTATTTCATTGTATGGGATAAGGAGCCATTTTGGTACTACTTTTAGACTTGCTACAACTTAAGAAAATAGATACTTCGTGTCTGAGTTAAAATAAAATCTTATTTTAAAAATGCATATAAAGCATAGAACCTCAAGGGCAAAGAAGTATTTTGCCCTCTTTTTTTTGTACTGGGGATCAAACTCGGGACCTTGCACTTGCAAGGTAGGCAGTGGAACCACTGAACTAAATCTCCAGCCCTTCCTCAATTTTCTTTTTAACTAAAGCTAATTTCCTTCTAAGGAAGTGCTCCCACTAATTATTTTTTCTAAGCAAGAAATCTTAACATTATTTCATTCCCACACACTAGATATAAGAGATACAAAGTATTAAATTAGTAGTGTATCTGCGGGAGGAAAAATACAGTTTTAAAAAGAATATAGACTAGGAAGTGTCTTTTTCCGGAGTGAAAAGAGGCATCAGCACAGTGACTGAGGACACAGAGTAGTGAAGAGGATTGGGGGCTGCACAAGCAATCAGCCAGTGGCCAGAGATGTGAAGCGCTGAGGGCCAGCAGAGAGGTGGTAAGAAGGAATAGACCATACCCTTGGGGCTCTGATTATTTATATCTGTCAAATAATAAATGGATTAAGTAATAGATAATTGCATTGAAAGTAATAGCAACCAAATTTCCAGAGAGCACACATCAAAGCAAGACCAGAAAATGTTAGATTGGAATTGGAGGCATAAGTATGAACAAGTTTTATTTTATTCATGTATATATGCCGATAGATGCAGAACTGTTTGTAGATATATATTTGTTCATCTGTATGTTTGTGTGCTACACCCTAATAGCAGTGAGCCCAGTGTCCTTCCAGATACCTTATTTCAAAACTCCAAGGAAAGGAGGGAAAGTACGAGTTGTGCCCTGAACTTACTTACTTTTTATTTATGGAGGTAGAGTCTGAGTACTTGGGACTACAGGTTTCCAGAATGTCTCTATAGATCAGAAATTAGGGAAATGCTTAGAAAATCTCAGGCACATTTCAGCGGGTCCAGGATCCAACCTTCTAGGCATGTAAGTAACAAATTGAGGGATGAAGAGTTGGTGATGTAATATTGTGGTTTTTTTTTTTTTTTTTTTTTTTTTTTTTTTTTTGGTTTTTTTGAGGCAGGGTCCCACTATGTAGAGACTGACCTGGAACTCACTATGTAGACTAGGCTGGTCTCGAACTCAGTGATCCTTCTGCCTCAGCCTCCTGAGTGCTGGGATTACAGGTGTGCACCACCACGCCCAGCTTTAATAGTGGATTTTAATGCTTTGAGTAAATAGAGATATACATCAATCAGTAAGAAATAAGTCAATGGAGGGAGAGGTTGGTGACAAGATGTTAAGCAGTGAATGTGGAGGGGGCTGATAGACATTTTTTTGGCCACTGTCATAGAAGTACTCTAGAAGGAACAGTGGATTGTGACGTAGTCTTGGAATACCTCTTCACAAAATAATAATTAGTTATGGGGGTGACTTAGGTGCAGCAAAATTGCATGTGGCAGGACAATTTGTTATACTGTGTTCCCTGATACATCATTTGTGGGGTTGTTCTTAACAATGAGTGATTTCACCGAGTCTTATCAGGAAGAAGTATCAAATCACACCCCCTTGAAATGTATCCTACAAATTGTAAGTTCTAAAATCTTGAAAGCCCAGCAAAGACAGGAGGGAAGAGAAAGACTGGGGAAACTAAGAGTTGACAACTGACTGCAGCTTTTATTCCTTAATAGCATGACAGAGCAGAGACAGTACTGGGCTAGGTAGCATTTGATCAACATCTTTGGAAGATAGTGTGTAGTAATACAGTTGTTTTCTGAATTTGAATTTACTAATTATGTTAGAAGATCTTTGCTACAGAATATTCATACTGGAGTGTTTCTGGAAGGTACAACTTTTTGTATGCATCTTCTCAAAAGGTTTAGGCAAACCAAAATATGTTAGTAATAACCTGTGACGTGTAGGAGCAGCTGTGTGGACTTTGGAATAAAGGTGATAGAATTGGGGAATCTGAATCAAGGGAATATGAGTGTTTTAAACATTTATCTACAATTTGAAATTATTAAAAATATTAAAAGGCTATTATCAAAAAGATGAGAAGAGTTGGAGATGTTGGGAAAAAAAAGGAAGTCCTTGGAATTTGTTCCAAATTAGCGTAGCCATTATTGAAATATAAATATATATAAATGTTCTCAAAAAACTAAAAATAGAACTGACCTGTGCTCCAGAAATCCCACTGCTGGTTATAGATAGGAAATGGAATTAGTTTGTCATAGTTTATGGCAGTGCTATTTATAATAACCAAGATATGGAACCAACTCAAGTATTTGCCAACAGGTTAATGGATAAGAAAATGTATACGCCACATTAACAGGAAATGGATAAAGGAAAGTATATGGCCACAGTGCAGTACTGTTCAGCCTTTACAATGAAGGAAATCCTGTGTGTTAGTTCTTTTTCTGGGTGTAACTCACTACCACATTGGGAATTTACAAAGTATTAAAAGCTTTGTTTGGCTTACAGTTCTGGAGACTGGAGGAGTCCAAGGTTTAAGAGGCTGAGTTGGAGAGGTCTTTGTTGTTCGTGAGGACTCTACTGCAGTGTTCAGGGTAGCAAAGGGCATCACTAAGTGAGAGCAGAACTATACTGGTTCTCTTTACAGACCTCTTAATGTAAGCCACTAATACATGAGTGGAATAATCACCTCTCCAAGTTGCCACCAGTTAATATCTCCAGCAGTTTTGGTGGGGACCGCAGACCATAACATCCTGTCAGTTGTGACACCTTGACAGATCTAGAGAGCATTGTGCTAGGGGATGTCAGCTGGTACAGAAATAGGTACAGCATGATCTCACTTGTTCATAAAAAATTGAATTTATAGAAGCAGAAAATAGAACGGTGGTTAACAGGGGTAGAGAGTACCTGGGAGAGATGTTGATGATCTAAGGATATAAATTTCAGTTAGGAATAAAAGAGGAAATCAGTTTATTATATAACATAGTCAACTATACATATACTTTTTGGCAGTACCAGGGATCAAACTCAGGACCTTGTACTTCCAGGCATGTCTGGCACCACTGAGCCACATCCCTAGCCCTAGTACAGTGTATTCTTAAAACTGCTAAGAGCAGATTTTAAATGTTCTCACCCAAATATAAGTATGTGAGGTAATGCACATGTTAATTAGTTTAATGTTGCCATTTCATAATATACACATTTCAAAATTATTTTACATTATAAATGCACACAGTTTCTGTCAATTATAATAAAAAATTTAAACATAATAAATGACCAAATTGTAGAAGCTGATAAAATCATGTGGCTATTTACAAATGAAAGTTCTTAGAGTAATTCTTTTGGTTAATATATTATGAGCTTCACTTATAGTCAGGATTGTTAGAGGATGCAAGAAAGGAAGAGAGGGAGGGAGAGAGCCTTGGGTGGGGAAAGGCATATAAAAGTATTGAGTGCTCAGCCACACAGTCTCCATCATCCCCAAATCAGTTATTTTTAGCCAGAATTTGATAAAGAGAATGCTGCAGTTGAAGCAAATTTATGTACTCAACAATTACTTACTGAATGCTACCATGTAGCAAGTAAATTCTGAGTATTGAAGGAACAGAAAACAATCTTTGCCCTCAAGCAAGTGCATTTTAGAGCAGAGAGATAGACAACAATAAAATAGGTAGATTCTTATATACTGAAAAGTTCTGAGAAAAGTAAATTGGAGGAGGAATCTGGGAGCATTGGTGTGAGGGATGCAATTTCAGGTAGGGGAGAAACTATGAAGTGGGTGATTTTGACAGCTAAAGAAGTGAAGAAACAAGCACACATATGTTCAAGGAGACAGTTTCTGCCAAGCATAGAACAAATGCCAAAATTAGGGTGGGAGCTTTTATGATGTGGTCTCCAAGGAGGCCTGAAGGTTGGGTCAGCGGAGTACAGTAGCAAGTTGGGTCTGAGAAGTAGCGGAGGGCAGATAGCACAAGTCTTGTACTTCACTACAAGGACTACAGTCTGAGCAAGATGGGAAACATGGAGCGGTTTCAGGACAGGTGTGGCATGATATATGATTTACTAGCTGCTGTGTTGAGATTCCAGCATAGATCCCCTGAGGGCAGGAAAGAAATACGGAAAACCAGTTAGAACTTACTTTAATACAGATCTTTTCTGGAGTGGTAGCTAGATTGTTCAAAGACCTTGTAAGAGTATGGTCACATTATCCATAGATCTTAAATGGAGAGCCAAGAAGATTTATTGAGAGATAGAATGTGTAGTGATGAAATGGGTTAGCGTTACAGCAAAAATGCAATATATTTTGAAAAGAATATTTTGTACTTTTATAGCCTATAGATAATTGTTTATTTTGTGTTATACATACCAGACTGTTTCTAGGTTTACTGATACTCAGTTCCTTCTGTGCTTTCTTCTAGATTACATACCGGTTACGGCACCTCCTTCGTGCAAGGTGTGATGCTTCCCCAGTGACCAACAACACCATCCAATTTCACTGTGATCCTAGTTTCTGGGCCCAAAATATTATCAACCTAGGTAGGCCATTAAATATATTTTTTTATGGTTTGTTTGTGGTACTTAAATTCAGTCATCATGGCAGGTCATTGAAAAGTAGGCCCTTCCACCTTAAGTGTTTACATTATCTGTTTGTTGTTTTTTGTAACAGGAATTGACTGAGCTAAAACCCTGGCCCTATATTTACATTATCTTATTTAAAGATGTATCATTTCTTGTATTGTATCATTAACAGTTATTTATGGGAACATATGTATTAAAATATGCATATACATATTTGGATGATATGAAACTGTCCTTTTTATTGACTTACAGTGTATCAAGATGTAGGGTTAGGAGGGTATTTCTGCCCATAGAATCCTGCTTATGTTGTTAGTGCTAGATTTATCAGACAGATTTAATCCTGGTTATCATTTAAACAGGACTTTTGATACTTAGTGTTTTCTGTTAAAATACCATTTTTTATACCACTTTTGGTTACGTTGTTTTATCTTGTGTAGAGTAGACCTTTTTTTCTCTTGATTTATCAGGACAGAGGGAGAAAGAATTGATTGATTTACCTAATTGAAGTATAACATATATACATAAAAGGAACCAAATCTTAAGTAGTAGAGCTCCTTGATGTTTCACAGAGAAACTTATCATTTGGTAACTTTAAGAGCTGGAATGTCTTTGCAAGCAGTTCAGCAGAAAGTTACTGCTTTAGCTTTCTTGTTTTGCTGTTAGCTGAATAAAAATTGTCCTTTTGCTTTCTTTTTAGTATCTCCTAGGAAACTGCACAGACAAAATTTTAAGAATTTTTTTACCCATTTTGCTTATCGGCAGCCACTATTGCCTTTGATGAATTTTTTTTTTTTTTTTTTTTTTTTTTTTTTTTTTAGTTTCATCGACTTTGTATCAGAATCATCAAAGATATTCTCATCCCAGTTCTAGACTCTTAAGTTGGGAATGGGGAAGAATGGCTGGCGAGAATGAATCAGTGTTCTAGAAACAAATGAGGAAAGGAAGAAACAGGCTTACACAGTCTCATTCATTTAAAAGAAGAAAAAAAAAGAATAGTTGTGGCAGAGGTAGTAGAGACCTCTCCATGCCAGTTTGAGAAGTATATGTAGCCATTTGCACATTAGTAGCAGTAGGCAATTGAAATCATATACACTTGCATCCACTTTACTGGAAAGAACATGGCTTTAAAAATAAAAAGTATGTATATAAAAGCAGCTCTTCTATCCACGCCCTATTCTATTCTACATAGTCTTGTGTACTGAGAACCTGTCATAAGTTACAAATCCACACAAGTAGTCATGGATAAGCTTAAAACATCATTATAGAAATTTAAGAATTACTTTTAAAAGTGCATACATATAAGTGGGCTTTTTTGTTTTTTTTGTTTTTTTTAGATCAGTCTATAGAGAAAAATCAGGATCGCCTTATTACATGAGGCAAAACTCTTGATACAGTAAAGTTTCACACAATATCTTTCCTATAGGGCTTAGGAAATTTACAGCTGTCATTTACAGCTTGGTATATTTGTTTACAATGAAATGTGTATTGTAAGTCTCCCAAAATGGAGACAAGTTTCCCAAACTTGCTTATTTATGGCTCCTGAGAAACATAGAAAAGTGCTAAGGAAAAAGTAACTGATGATCTAGATGGATGTTGGTTAATGCTTTGGACTAGGTCTTCAATCTGTAAACCTTGGGTCCTTTACCATTTAATATTCTGTTTATGTATATGCGATACATATGACTGTTACAGCACTAAACACAGTGAGTACTGAATGATAGCTGTTTTTTAAAGAATGCATGTGCTCATTAGTAAATTAGAAACATTTCAGTCTCTTCTACTGAAGACATAAAGTTTGTATCAGATCAAAGACACCTTTAAATGCTCAACACTATAGTTGCAAGCCAGCCAACATATTTGTCAGAATGACCATAGTGCCACATTTTAAACTAAAAGAAATGTGAGAGTGCAAATTGTTAATATTAAAGAATCAGAAGTACCATCTGTATAAGACAAGATTTTTAAAATATATTTTCACCTAAACAATATGGTATGATAATGCAGAAACAAATGAGAGTAAGTTATTAAGCCATTTAGAATTTTTTAAAGTACTCATTTAAAATTTCTCATACGGCAAATTTTGAAATTTTGATGACATAAGCATACATAAAAGTTCTTTGGCATTCTTTATTTTCAAGAGTGTAAAGAAGTCCTAAAGACCAAAAAACGTTCCTCCGAACAGCAGACCTTTGACTTACAAGCTCTTTTCATTTACAAGGCGTGGTTGTAACTCAAGTTGGTCAAGCTTACAGCCTTTGAAGTTTCTTGCTTGTATAATTTTAGGCCACACTTTCTTCCAGACAGATCTCAGTTTCCTTAGAGTGACCTAGGCCGCAAATTTTTCAGTCCCACACGGGAAAGCACGTGGTAATGTTCTTTACGGAACTCTTTAAGGGTTAAATCTGTATCTGACACCATCTGGAAACACAAACAGCCAGCATTCAAGTCTGGTCATAACTCAAGACTTTGTTTCTAAGTTAAAACTAAAATTCAGTTCATAACCCAAGTTGTTTATATGTCAGGCCAGTTGTAATTCGAGGCCCCACTGTAGTTGAAATTTGGCAAATATCCAAACAATACAGTATTTATTTAGTGATTACTTTTTTCTCTTTAATTAGGTTCTTTAGTAATCGAGGATAAAGAGAGCCAGCCGCAAATGCCTAAGCAGAATCCTGTCGTGGAACAGAATTCACAACCACCAGGTGGTTTATCTTCAAACCAGTTATCCAAGTTTCCAACCCAGATCAGCCTAGCTCAATTACGACTCCAGCATATGCAGCAACAGGTAATGGCTCAGAGGCAACAGGTGCAACGGAGGCCGGCACCTGTGGGTTTACCAAACCCTAGGATGCAGGGGCCCATCCAGCAGCCTTCCATCTCTCATCAGGTAAATTTGGAAAGCAGGCCTATCCTAACTTAGATAATTGTGGTATAATTGTGTTCAGCAGCTCTTAGAATAACTAAGACACCCACAGTCCTTCAATATATGAATTTATAAAAATTTACCACATTAAGGATCCCTGAATTAACACCTAGTTTGTAGCTTTACTCAAAAGAGATTTAATGGTTTACTTAGATGTTATGTCTGTTTTCATCTACTGGTCATCTTCAAATTATAGCAAGGTTATAAATGTTTGTATTTCCAAATAACCCATGCCTGTGATTGATGGAAAAAGTAGTATAGCTGTAATTGCTGTATTCGTGCTTCAGAATAATAAGTACTTTAAGACTGCTGTGTGGCACTGCAGTGTTAAAAAAAACACACACATCTTAGAAATGAGGCAAAATGAAGTATGACATAGACAAAGGCTCGTGTGTAGCTCATTAGAATATTAATGTTTTCATATTTTTCCTGAATACTCTATCCACGTTTGTTAGTTGTACTAGATGTGAGGTATTCTGTTTTCAATCTCATTTTTGAAGAGAGAAAGTTTTTTATATACTTTCATGAAATCCTGTTCAGTTTAGAAGTGGCCGTACTTAGATTAATAAATGTTTTAGTAAAGTGTTTAAAGTCTTAATTCATATCATTGTTATTTTCAAATACTTTATTTATATTCTTCCTGTTTCAGCAAAGAATTTGACATGATTTAGGTAAATGACACAAATGAAACAATAGAGTTTAATAAAACGAAGTATGTAGACCTAAGCTTAAGAATTCCTGTTATACTCAAGAACAAAACTTTGCTTAGAATTTCTTTATCCTAGTGCCGGCTGTGGTGGGGCATGCCTGTAATCCCACCACTCAGGAAGCTGAGGCAAAAGGATCGATGCAAGTTCGAGGCCAGCCAGGGCAAGCCTGGGCTACATATCGAGACCCTGTCTCAAAAAACAAATAAAACAAAGAAAGAAAGTTTATGTTAGTATTTTTCTACTAAGAGGAGTATATAATATAATTCTTTAATTAAAATGACATTACCCCCTCCCTCCCAAGTACTGAAAATTAAACCCAGAGAATGCTGAGCTTATAGCCCTTTTTCCTATTTTATTTTGAGACAGGGTCAGACTGGGCTCAAATTCAGTATCCTGTCTCAGCCTCTTCAGTGCTGGGATTATAAATGTATGTCACCATACCCAAATGAATAACGTTTTCTGTAAAATATGCTTTTTGTCAGACTCTACAATCCTCAGTAGAAGTTGTGGGCATATGTAGATCCAGTTCGTTTCATGATGCGAAGATGAAACCCAATGCCTTGCACATGCCGAGCTCATGGAGTGTTACTAAGCTATATTTCCAGCTAGATTCTGATGTTGTCATTTCTCTAGAGTCAGGAGAAGTATTTGTAGTTTATGAGTTTCTAGTTATGTGATTAAGAAAGCACATGAAATTCAAGGAAATAATTAATGCCTGCTTAAAACTTTGTTTCAATTCAAGTTTTAACTAGAAATGAGTAGCAAGAAATTTAAAAGATCTTGGTGCGTCTTCCATCAGGAGAGAATAGTATGCTTAAGATACTAGGATCATACCTGGTAGAGTGGAAACAAAATTGTGGCAGAATGACATTACAAAGAGAAAAGAGTGTTAACATTTTTTTGAAGCTAACTGCAAAAAAGAAAATATTTTCAAATGCATATATTAATAATCTTAAGTGTCTTTAGACACCGATTTTTATTTAATACTTTATTAAGCACAAAAATGATGACTCCATTATTTCAGTTAATTTCTTTTTCACTAAGTAGTAAGAACTGAGACAGTTAATAGATACTATATGAAAAGAACTATTCATATAAACAGGAACAAAATAGGAAAAAACCCTGACCCTTCAGTAGACAAATTTGTTTTTTATCTTATATTCAGTCCCTAGCCCTCTATGGTGTAACTTATGCACTGTACATCTTTTGTATAGTATTTTCCTTCACAGCTTGTAGTCTTCCTCACACACAGTCCCTTTTCTGTCTCCTCTAGGCTCTTATGCCTTCTTTGACTTGTACATCTCTTCATCACCTGTCTTCCAAATACCTACTCCTATATTTTCAACCATTAGTTTGACCTCCTTTTGTCAATTTGTACACTGCCTTGTCCCCCAATATTCTTGGTTTTCTTCCATTTTGCTTACATGTTTGTATGCATTGAAAGCAGAGATGTCTGTGTCTTTTGCTCTGTGGGAGTGTAGAAATAATAACATGCAGTTGTTGAAAGGACTGTTCCCCAAAATGACTTAGACAGTAGTTCCCTACTTGTTATTTCCTTTGAAGATTAACCATGCCATCTTCATGGTTCCAAAGTTTAGTGACTGTATATTAGATATATTACTGATTCCTGCTCATTTGAGTCCTGTATTTATTTAACACTATACAGTACATTCCATTAAATTCCAGTGGCTATACCTGCTTGTTACCTAACACTGTCTCATGTCATTTATACACGATTCACAGCTGTAGTTCTCACTGTGATTGTGTCTGTTTGGCTAAACTGCAGTCCTGTCTCTCTCTCTCTCTCTCTCTCTCTCTCTCTCTCTCTGTCTCTAACATTGTAGATAAAGAGGGAGGGAGGGGTTCGAGGGAGGGCTATTTTCCCACTCATTTGTTTTTTCATTATCTGTCTCTAACATTGTAGATAAAGAGGGAGGGAGGGGTTCGAGGGAGGGCTATTTTCCCACTCATTTGTTTTTTCATTAAGTTTATTGGTACATTTTAGGTATAGAGTACAGTTACACTCATCATTGGGATCTTGTACCTTTACATGACAGGTCTTGGTTCTCATTTTCCCCATACCCCTGCCCTCCCTTCACCTCCTCCATCCTCCCTATTTATAAAGACTTTGTTTTCATTTTTTCCTTTTCTCATATTTTTTCTTTTCCCTTCCTTTCCCCACACCTTTAGCCCTTTTCTCCTATTTCACACTGTCCTATTTCGTACTGTCCCACTCTTATTTTGATGCAAAGCCTCACTAAGCTGCCTAGGTTAGCCTCTAACTTCCAGTCCTCCTACCTGTGTTCTAGAGTATTGGGAATTATAGATGTTCACACTGTGCCCAGCAATAAAGTTCTATCATTTTTCTAATACTTTTCTACTCTTGTTCAAAGTGTTACTGCAGAATTTGCTCCCAAAACAGCACCTAAGGTGACTAGGCCTCTAATTACTGACTCTTCTTGAATGAGGGTATACCCAGCACCAACAGATTTATGAGGGAGGAAAACAGTTAATCTAGGACAGGAGAGTAAATTCCAAAAATGGGAGAAGGAAAAATAAAAAAAAAAAGAGGCATGCATTATGGTGCATAGCTGTCTGCCTTACAGTCTCAGAGTGTGAGATGGTGATATTTCCACCTTACCCCCATTTGTGTTTCCTCCTGGGAATGTGAAACTGAGAAGGAGTGTACCTACACATAAGAAGTATATATTGCAATAAATTTCCAGTTCTAGAGGGAAGTGAATGGTCAAAAGGAAAGAAGTATATAAGATTGTTGTTTTTCTAGAACTCTAGTCTCAGTTTATAGGACTGACGTATTGAGACTTGCCCTCTAAGATGTAATTAATTAGTGTATTTGTTGTTTTGTTGGGGTGTTTTTGGTTTGGTTTTGTTTTGAGATAGGGTCTTGCTGTGTGATGTAGTTCAGGTTGGCCTTGAACTCATAATGTAGCCTAGGCTGGTCTGGAACTCCTAGTGATCTTCCTGCCTCAGCCTCTACTGGTCTATACCACCACGCCCAGCTCCTCAGTGTTTAACAGCTGGAAAAACATCAGAACGTGTTTTGGTAATAATAAGACAAATTAGATTTGGGGAAGACCTTCATGCTCACTTTTATTAACTGTCAGACTTTTTTCCTAATTATCTAAGTGTTTAATCTTTCTAATTTCCTTATTTTCAAATAGAGGGAAAAATATCTACTCCGCAAGGCTTAGTGACGAAATATGTATAAAATACTGTCATAATGTTAGAGATCAATAAGATCTGAGACTTGTGCCTCTCCCCCATTGAACCTAGGGCCTTTGCACTAAGCAGCATCCCTAGCTGTTTTGAATTTGAGGCAGAGTCTCACTAAGTCACCCTAAGTGGGCTCAAACTTTCAATTTTGCTGCCTCATCCCGCCACAGCGCTAGGATTACAGGTTTGCACCACTACACCTGGATAAATCTTGTTAATTTTAAAATATGCTATCACCCATTTCATTATTAATGATTTGTTAGTTAAGAATACATACCTTGGAGCTAGACTCTTCAAATCCCAGCTCTATCCCTTACTGTCTTTATTAATCTTGGCCAGGTGACTTTAATTCTCTGTACTTTTAATTTTTTTATACGTAAAATAAAGATAATCCCTGTCTCATAGGATTGTTGTTAAGATTAAGAGTGAATATACATGAAGCACTTAAAGCAATATCTGGCAGGTAATAATTCATCAATAAATGTTAGCAGTTACTATTCTGTCACTTTAAGAGCTTTGAAGAGTCCAGTTCTCTCTCTCTCTTTTTTGGTACTGGGGCTTGAACTCAGGACCTTACTCTTTCAAGACAGGCGCAGCTCCACTGAGCTAAATCCTTGGCCTTAAGAGGCCAATTTAGTTCTTGCAAGAGATAATTGCCAATCTCAAGACTTGTCATGTAGAGGTACAAGATCCCAACAATGAATGTAACTGTACTGTATCCCTAAAATGTACCAATAAACTCAATTAAAGCTGAAAAAAAAAAAAGATAATCGCCAAGGATTTATAAAGGTACCAAACACACATTTGTCTAATTACCCAGCATAGCCTACATCCAGCCTACAAACCTAGCAGGTAACCCTTTTCCCAAGATTCTTTCCTAATAAAATTATTTTAAAATCAATTACACAAAGCTGGCATGATGCCACACACCTATAATCCCAGGACCCTGGGAGGCTGAGGCAAGATGATCACAAGTTCGAGCCCAGCTTGGGCAACCCAGTAATTTAGCAAGATGCTCTTTTAAAATAAATAAGGGGTTGGGGATGTAACTTAGCTTAGTGCATGTCCCTGCGTTCAATCCCCAGTACCAAACACAAAATCACTAATGGTAGGTAGATGTCAGCCCATCCCCACCCCTCATTCCCTTGTATAAGACTCTTTTAACTTGTCTTTATGGAGATAATTTTTACTAAAATGGTTTGATTTCTTTGTTCTAGCAACCCCCTCCGCGTTTGATAAACTTTCAAAATCACAGCCCTAAACCCAATGGACCAGTTCTTCCTCCTCATCCTCAACAGCTGAGATATCCACCAAACCAGAATGTGCCCCGGCAAGCAATAAAGCCCAACCCCCTACAGATGGCTTTCTTGGCTCAACAAGCCATCAAACAGGTATATATCTACTCCAGTTGTTTATTCTGTTTCTGCTTATCTTTCTCTAAATCACATTGAATTTATAGATTAAGCAGCAGGCTATGAAAAGCAAGAGAAAACTTGCTTCACTTTTTTTTTTTTAATGACTGAATTTCCAAGTTTATTACAGACATATCTATGAAAACAAAGCTGAGACTGTCTGTGCTTTGTAATCAAGAGCAATCATGCGACTTCTGCAGCAGCAAAGGCCCAGTATAATAAATGAGTGCTTGGTATTAAATTTTATAATACTAGTGTGTATAACTTTTAGACAAGCACATTGTGTTTCCTAAAACAAAAGTATTCTTATAAATCCAAGTTATATTCCACAGAGAGTATTTTGAGGAGATTTTTTGGAAACAAATTTAATTGTGGTACAATTTCCATATGGAGTACATATGTATCCAGTGACACTTAATATTGAAGGTTACATATTAAATCTGATAGTTTATTATGTTCTCTACGTCTTCAGGGAAAGAAATATTTCTAGAATTGTTTTATCCTAAAAACCATCTCAGTGCTTTTGTCTTCTCAAATGTACCTCTGAACAGTCTTTCCAGCGGGCGGCTTTTGGACTATGCTGGGGATTTAGCTCAGTGGCACCATGCCTGCCTTGCAAGTGCAAGGTCCTGAGTTCCATCCCCAGTAATGGGGGGAAAAGAAAGAAAGAAAGAAAAGAAAGTTAGGAGGCTTTCAGACTAATTTTGGTTTTTTGTTTTGTTTTTGCTAAGCACATGCCCCACATATATACACACTAAGATGATGATGCTATCTCATAATCTTACAATATTCATTCTAATCATATTGTTTGAAAATTTTATTCAAAAATATTCATGCTGTGTGTGTCTGTGTGTATGATGTTTGGCTTTCCTATAAAATTAGAAAAATTTTTTGAATAACACAAAAATGATTTCTGTTTCATAATTAAGGTAAGATGTAAAGGGAACAAACTATAGTTGGGCCTTAACTTTTATTTTACTAATAATTTTGTGGAGCTGGGCAACTTTATTCTTTTTAAATCTCACATGCCCCAAATTTAAAATGATTGAGTACCTTGCAGAGTTGTGTTGAGAATTATTCCAATTTGTAAATGTGTCCAGCACATTCTTGGTGCTTAACTATCCTTTTTACCCATTTATTTTAGGTGTGTTGTTGTTGTTGTTTGAGACAGGATCTCTATTCAAGCTGGCCTTGAACTAACTATATAACCCATGCTGGCCTAGAACTTGCAGCCACCTTCTTGCTTCATCCTCCTAAGTGCTGGGATCGTAGGCTTGTGCCACCGTGGTCAACCATTTATTATGTTTCAATGAGTAGATTTATTTTTTATTTTTAAAAAATTTTTCCAACTAAAAATCTAAATATAAATGAATAAGTTAACTTACCACCCAGGAGAAAATACAATGAGAAATTTGTTTTAATTTAACAAATAGTGGCATACCCATACAATAGAAATAGTGCATATATTAAGAAAATAATGATCTAAGTGTCCAACGTGAGAAAGAACATGTCACTGAATTATATGTGGTTTTGTTTATGCATGTGTATGTTTTCATCTCAGTACACACAGGAAAAACCTAGAAAGATGGCCTCTATCTATAATTGATTATTCTTTTTGTTGTTGTTGTTACCGGAGATTGAACTCGGGACCTTGTGCTTGCCAGGCAGACAGCAGAACCACTGAGCTAAATCCCTGGCCCCTGATTATTCTTGGAAGACAAGTTGGATGGATGATAGCCTATGAGGGTTAGGTGGGTGGTAAAGATGACATTCATACCCACCTTCCCATGATTCTGTATGTAGTTTTTACTAGTAGGACATTGTGGATTAAACTTTTCGCAATTAAAACTTTTGAACATATGTGAAGATAGAATTTCAGCTATAAAAGAATTCCAGTCAGTGACCATAAAAAAATAGATCTCTCAAAAAGTAGTAAGGGATCCTGAGAAATTGATCCAACAATTCCTATATGATACAAAGAAGAGTAACATAAGACTGTTAAGAATCCATGAAATAGCAGGAGAAGGGCCAAATGACTTGATAAAAACTGTACACAGAATTAATGACAGAAAACTTCACAAATAGAGGGGAATAATTTGGCATAAAGATAAGGAGGCATATAGGACTCTAATTAGCCATGATTAAAAAAAAACTAAACCTAGAAATATAATAGTCAAGATCCCGGAAACCCAAAAGACAAACAAAATACTGAAAGCAGTTAAAGAAAAGAAATAAATCACATGCGAAGGAAAGCCCATCAGAATCACAGCAGACTTTTCAGCACAAACCCTCAGATAAGGAGAGCCTGGAGTGAGGTATTTCAAGTCCTAAGAGAAAACAAACTCCAACCTAGACTGATGTGTCCTATAAAACTCTCTTTTAAAATGGATAGGGAAATAAGATATTTCCATGAAAAGAACACCTGAGAAACTTCATGAATAAGTCAGTATGTATCAGTTATTACCATGCATGTCAGTGGCCTTAATTTACCAATCAAAAGAAATAGACTGGCAGAAAGGATTAAGAAGCAAAATCCAGCAATATGTGTATACAAGAAACACACCTAGTTCAAAAAGAAACTCATAGACTGAAAGTGAAAGGATGGAAAACAGTTCTCCATGTGACAGGAGCCCAGAAAAAAGCAGGGGTAGCTCTCTTATTTGCGGACAAAGTAAATTTCAAACCAAAACTAATTAAGAGAGACGAAGGTCACTACATCCTTGTAAAAGGAACAATCCAAGAGGAAGAGATGACAATCAAATATATATGCACCAAATGCTATTGCCCCCAATAAATATTAAGGGACATAAAAAAACAAATAAGCACTAATACAATCATACTGAGGGACCTAAATACCCCACTACCACAAATAGATCATCTAGACAAAAAAATCAACAACAAAATACTAGAACTGAACCAAGCTTTTGAACAAATGGACTTTAGATGTTCCACCCCACAAAATCAGAATATACTTTCTTTTAGGCTGCACATGGGTCGTTCTCCAAAATAGACCACATCATACTAGCTCACAGAACATTTTTGTTTGTTTGTTTTGTTTTGTTTTTGGTACCGGGGATTGAACTTGGGTCCTTGTACTTGTGAGGCAGTCGCTGGAACCACTGAGCCAAATCCCCGGCTGTCATAGAACATTTTAAATGCAAAGGGATTGATGTCATCCCATGTTTATTATCAGACCATAGTGCAATTAAGCTGGAGATCAATAGCATAAGAAACCGTAAGAACTTCCACAAACACAAGGAAATTGAACAACACTCTCCTGAACAATCAGTGGGTCACAGAGGAAATTAAGAAATTAGTCAGGGGCTGGGGATTTGGCTCAATGGTACTGCCACCTGCCTGGCAAGCACAAAAGGCCCTAGTTTGATCCCCGGTACCAAAACAAACAAAAAAAGAAATTAGTCAGTGTTTATAAGTAAATTATAATGCCAATACAACATACAGGAATCTGTGGGACACAGTGAAAGCAGTTCTACATGGAAAATGCAGAGCAGTGAATGCCCACACTAGGGAAACAGAGTGAACTCAAATAAACAACCTAATAGTGAATCTTACATTCCTAGACAGAGAAGAGCAAGAAAACCCAAAGCTCATACAAGGGAGAAAATTATAAAGATCAGAGCAGAAAAAAATCAATGCAATGGAAACTAAGAGAACAATACAAAAAAAATCAATGAATCAAAGAATTGGTTTTTCGAAAGAATAAAAGATAAACCCTTTGCAAAGCTAATAAAAAAAAAAAAGGAAAGAATAGGCTCACATTCATGCAATTAGGAATGAAAAAGGTGAAGTCACAACAGATCCACCAGAAATCCAGAAGATCATCAATACCTACTTTGAGAACCTGTACTCTTAATAAAATGGAAAACACAGAAGAAATGATACTTATGATACCCTTGGTACTTAAGAATTACCAAAGTTGAACTAAGATAAAAAAAATTCTAAACAGCCCAATTACAATCAGTGAAATTGAAAACATAATTAAAAATTTTACCAGTTAAGAAAAGTCCAGGTCCTGATGGCTTCAGCTCTGAATTCTACAAGACATTTAGAGAAGGACTACTGCCACTACTCTTTAAACAATTCAATAAAATTGAATGGGAAGCAATACTTCCTAATTCTTTCCTGGAAGCAGCTGTTACTTTGATTCCAAAGCCAGGGAAATACCCAACCAAAAAAAGAACTACAGGCCAATCTCCCTAATGAACATAGATGCAAAAATCCTCAAGATACTGGCAAAAAGAATAGAGAGTGTCATCAAGAAGATCATATACCCTGACCTAGTCAGATTTATTCCAGGGATGCCAGGATGGTACAACATAAGTAAATCAGTAAATGTAATACACTATATCAACAGAGTCAAGGGCAAGAACCGTGTCATCTCAGTAGATGGAGAAAATGCATTTGACAAAATTCAATACCCATTCATGATAAAACTGCAGAAAATTGGAATAGATGGTTATTATCTAAACTTGAAAGAGGCTATCTATGAAAAACCAACAGCCAACACCATATTAAATGGCCAAAAACTGAATACCTTTGCCATAAGACCAGGAACAAGAAAAGGATATCCAGTATCACCACTCCTGTTCAATATAGTTATGGAAACATTAGCCACAGCAAAGAAAGATGAGAAAGAAATTAAAGCCATAAACATAGGAAAGGAAGAAGTTAAGCTGTCATTATTTGCTGATGATATGATACTCTACATAGAGGACCCCAAAAACTCTGCCAAAAGACTTGTAGACTTAATTGAAACTTTCAGCAGAGTAGCTGGATACAAGGTCAACAGTCAAAGACAGTATCCTTCTTGTACACGAATAATAGACTCACTAAGAGAAATAAGGGAAACAATTCCTTTCACAGTAGCATCCCAAAAAATGAAGTATTTAGGTAGCAATCTAAAGGAAGCAAAAGACCCATATACTGAAAACTATAGCATTATGAAGAAAGATATGGAAGAGGATATAAGAAAATGTAAAGACATCCCCTGTTCCTCTGTAGGAAAAATCAATATAGTGAAAATGGCCATACTACCAAAACTGCTGTACAGATTGAATGCAATCCTAATTGAAATTCCAGCAGTATATTTCACAGATCTAGAGAAAGTAATCCAAAAATTCATTTGGAATCAGAAGATACCTGGAATAGCAAAAGCAATTCTAGACAACAAGACATGGCAGGGGGTGTCACAATCCCCAACTTGAAACAGCATGGTGCTGGCAAAAAAAAAAAAAAAGACCCAAAGATCAGTGGAATAGATTGGAAGATAGAGAACCAAACAACTCCAGATATACTCGGCTACCTCATCTTTGACAAAGAAGCCACCCATCTTCAGTGGAGGATAGATAGTCTCTTTAATAAATGGTGTTGGAAAAAGTGGATTTCAACCTGCCAAAGATTAAATCTAGACCCTCAGCTTTCACCATGCACTAATGTAATATCCAAGTGGATTAAAGATCTAAATAATTAAAACAAACACTAAACTTGGTGGAAGATAAGTTAGGCAGAACTCTCAAGGTATAGGAAGACTGAACAAATTCTCAGTAGTTGAACAAATCCACAGTAGCACAGGAATCAATTACTGGGATATCATTTCATTGAAAAGCTTCTGCACTGCAAAAGAAACCACCAACAGAGCTAAAGGACAACTTACAGTGTGGGAAAATAATTTTACCAGCTGCTTCTTAAGATAAAGGACTATTATCTGGAATATATAAAGAACTCAAAAACATCAGGCTCCCCAAATATAAAGTAACGATTCAAAAATGGGTATCTGAAATGAACATTTTTCAAAAAAGTAAAAGCAGCAAGTAATATGAAAAAATGTCCAGCATCATTTGAGAGATGCAGATGAAAGCAATACTGATATTCCAGTTCATCCCAGAACGGCTGCTATCAAGAAATCAGTAACAAATGTGGTGGTGTCGTGGGGAGAAAGGAACCCTTCTCCATTGTTTTTGGGAGTGCAGAGTGGTGCAACCACTGTGGAAATCCATATGGAGATACCTCAAAGAACTAGGACTGGAGGTTCCGTTTGACCCAGCTCTCCCTCTGCTGGGTATCTTTCCAAAAGAATTAAAAGAATCATACCACAGTGATATACGTGCACTCATGTTTATAGCAGCATAGTTTGTAATAGCAACAATCTAATTGCCCATCATTTGGAAACTGGATAAAGATGTGGTTTTCTATAAAATGGAGTACTACTCAGCCATAAAGAATGAGAAACTAGAGTCATAGGAAAATGGATGTGTATTAAGGCCATACTCTTTATATTCTTTTTATTTTTATTTTGTGTGTGTGTTTTTCCAGGGTCGAAGTTGGGCCATTGTGTTTGCGAGGCAGGCACCAGAACCACTGAGCTAAATCCCTTGCCCTAAGCCATACTTTTAAGTGAAATAAATAAGACACACATGTAAATACTGAATAGTTTCTCTGATGTGAAAAAGTGTAAATAATATCTAAATTGTATAACTGATAATGTGAAATCTGAAGAAAAGGGCTTAAGGTGTAGGGGAAGTGGGAAGGGTAGGGGAAAGAAAAAAAGGCAAAGGAAACAATGGAAGCAGTCTTTGTAAATGGGGGGAGTGGAGGGGATAAGGAGAAGGAAGGGGCTTGGAGAAAAAATGAGAACCAAGACCTGTCATGTAAAGGTACAAGATCCCAATGGTGAATGTAACTGTGCTGTATACCTAAAAAGTACCAATAAGCTCAATGAAACAAAAATTACAACTTTCGAAGCATTATCTACTCTCTAATGCCATTCATATATATAAATGACTATGCTGGGGCATTTTCCCCCTGCATAATAATAGGGAAACTCTGAGTTGCTTTCCTTTGCTTCTGTATTTTATTATGAAAAATTTCAAACAACAAAGGTTGAAAGAATTTTACAGGTGCATTTGTTCTACTTCCCTTATCTCATATTTGTCTAGAGGTCTATCAAGCTGTTTTTATTTTACTTGGCTTTACAATACTGGGGATTGAATCCAAGGCCTGTCCTTTTTATAATTTTGATTTTGAGTAAGATTCTTGCTAAATTATTCAGTCTGAGCTTGAACTTCTGTGTCAACCTTGCACAGTGCTGGGATACTGGCATGTGACACCCTCTCTGGCTGAGAGGATTTGAAATAAAGTATGGTCAGCATCATGCTTGACTTCTTTATATTTTAGCATGCCAGCATTATCTTAGTTTATCTGTTTTTCTGAGCTGCTAATATGAATGACAAGAGTTTCCTTAGGTATATCAGCTTTTCATATAAAAAATGAAAAAAGTATAAAAACCTAAAAGGGCTGATCTGTGACTTAATTCCAGCTATTTCAAGTAAGGATAGAAGAAAATACATGCTATTAAACCTTCACCTATACCTTGTTTATGTTGCTTTGTTTATGTGTGTATAACCTTTCCAATTTTGTGGGGGGTGGTTGAGACAGGGTCTTACTATGTAGTGCGACTGACCTGGAACTCACTGTGTAGCTCAGGCTGGTCTCGAACTCACAGCGATCCTCCTGCCTCAGCCTCCTGAGTACTGGGATTATAGGCGTGCGCCACGACACCCGGCTTGTTTTGTCTTTTGGTATGGGTATTGAATTTAGGACCTTGCTTATGGGAGACCAGCATGGCACCACTGAGCTAAAGCCCTGGCTGGCTGTTTTTTGATATGTACTAACAGTTGTTTTCCAGTAAAAGTGGGTGCTTTTTTTAAAATTATTAATTCCTATCATTCTTCCTTTTTTTTTTTTTTTTTTTTAACTGAAAATACAATTGACTTCAGATAGCAGAATGTGTCTTCTACTTCATTTGATATCTGAAAGAGTAGTTGACCGCCAACCTGTTTTCTTCTTCTTGCTCCCACAGTGGCAGATCAGTAGTGGGCAGGCTGCCGCCTCAACCACCAGCAGCTCATCCTCAACTCCTTCCAGCCCCACCATCACAAGTGCAGCAGGATATGATGGAAAGGCTTTTGGTTCACCCATGATTGATCTGAGCGCACCAGTGGGTGGTTCTTTCAATCTTCCTTCTCTTCCAGATGTAAGTATACACAGAATTTACACTTCTGATCTCTTATGGAAATTGTCAGTTAATTTGAATCTGATGGAAGGACTGGGTTTGTTAGATTACAGGTTGTTTTTCAGTAATTTGTTTCTTTAGAAATATAACAGCAGTAGAAATTAAAATTATGACTACTTGGGCATACAACAGAATGTCTTTCTGAGCTTTGATATTAGAAGGATTTTTAAATGATAAAGATGGTGGATCGTGGAATCAAAGCTGGGAAAGGAGGGCAGTAGGAACAGGGGTCCTAGAAGTCAAATGGCTGGAATGTAATAGATTAAAATTAGAGATGGTTGCTAAGACATCAGATGAGATGATGCAGTGCATTCAATAGTAGAAATCTAAACATTTTCTCCTAGATTGCCTTGATCAATGCAAATTACCTTAATTTTTTAAATATTTAAATTAAATAGTATATTCATTTTCCAAGTTCTTAACTTTGTCCATATAATTTTTTGAAAGTCTTTCCAGAGGCAAAAAATATATCATGTAGACAGATGTAAGATGAATTATTATTTACCCTTTTCTTATTCTTATGGTCATGAATAAGACTAAACATTAAAAACAGTTGTCAGAAATATTTTGTACTACTGTACTTGGAATCACCTGCCATTGTGAAAGAAATATTTTAATTATTAGCCTGTTTTTCAAGTTGAGATCAATTGTTATTTCCTAATAGATATATATTGTTTACCTATTACAGTCACTTTAGTTTTTTAACAATTTATGTACTCTAAATGGGTAGAATACATGTATTTTTTTCATTCATAGATGCTACATAGAAAACATGTCTAAGCTTTCCGTAGGTTAAGATCTAACATCTATTCATTCCTGTCTTTGCACTGCCTGAAAGTGCTGGCGAAGGTAATCCAAAGAATATTAAAATGCAAATGATCTTGTATACTCCTCTCATTTACCTCAAATGAAAGAACCACAAGAAAATAAAATCCTCCTACCTTTTTCTCTGCATTCCCCATACCAGTGACCCTTTCTCTCAGCCTGTCTCAACTTATACTCCTCATCTGAGGCATAGTGCCCATTTTCTCGGTCCTCCTAGGTATACCTTATAACTTCCAGTCATACCGCTATTCTAGGTTCGCAGAGAAGAAATTAATTTTACATAGTATATGCCTTTGAACTGTAGAACTATAGAACCCTGATTGAGAAAGACGAACTATGTTAGAGAATTAAACTAGAGTTTAATCACAAAGACATTCTTATGAATTTGGTGAATTTAGACATGAAACAACAGTTGCATTTAAAGCAATAAACTCAATTGCAAATCAGTACTTAGCCTTGCAGTACTAGAATTAGAAATCAGTGTTATTTGTATATCCACTGCATTAAAGGACTCCACCCCTAACCTCTACTAAACAGTAATGTAAAAGTATGGGCCAGTGACTTGAGTGGTTACAGCCCTTTTAGATCCCTCCAGGTCCTGTAAGGGTGAAGCAATGTTTTCTTCATATTTTTAAAGTGAAGCCACAAATCACAATAGATTCAATGCAGAAACAGAGTGAGAAAAAAGCCAATTGATTGCTCTGAAAGCAGACATAAAAGAGATTTGCAACAGTGGACAACTGTACTGTTTTACTCTGTTTGCTTTTTTTTTTTTTTTTCTTGAGTTTATTGGTACAATCAATCTAGGTCTACAGTACAGTTACACTCATTACTGGGATCTTGTACCTTTACATGATAGGTCTTGGTTCTCATTTTTTTCCCCTTGGTCCCTGCCCTCCCTTCACCCCCTCCTCCCCTCCCCATTTACAAACGCTTTATTTCCATTTTTTCATTTTCTCATATTTTTTCTTCTCCCTTATTTTCTTTCCCCTACCCTTCCCACTTTCCCTACACCTTTAGCCCTTTTCTTCCTATTTCACGCTATTAATTATCCCATTAGGATCTTGTGTACTATTATAGTTTTTCACACCAGAGAAACTATTCAGTATTTACTCATGTGTGACTTATTTATTTCACTTAGGAGTATAGCCTCAATATCTATCCATTTTCCTATGAATGAATCTGATTTCTCATTCTTTATGGCTCAGTAGTATTCCATTTTATAGGAAAACCACATTTTCATTATCCAGTTTCCAGCAGATGGGCAAATGGGCTGTTTCCAAGTTTTAGCTTTTACAAACTACCACTATAAATATTGGTGCGCATATATCACTGCTTTTTTTTTCTAATGCAACTAATTTGTGTTAAATGAATTAAGACTAAAAAAATTGAATGATATATACTCCTTTCTTAACTGTTGACTTCTGAAATAGTATGTTAGTATATTTAACAAAGTGCAGTGTTAAAAGAATGATCATTTTTATTCAAGATTGCTTGAGGGAAATATCTATTAGAACTCATGTGATATTTATATATCAGGATTTGTCAGTAATTCTTATTGAATATCTTAAAAACTTTTACATTGCAAAAGCAGTTTGCCTTGAAATAATTTGTTTTCTTGTAAGATTGATTGTTCAAGTACTATTATGCTGGACAACATTGGGAGGAAAGATACCAGCACAGATCATGGTCAGCCCAGACCGCCCTCCAACAGAACTGTGCAGTCACCAAACTCATCAGTGCCCTCCCCGGGGCTTACAGGTCAGGTGCCCTCTTCTCATGTTGTAAATGTCTGTCTTTTACACTAGATATGCCTGAAGTCTCTCCTTTACCTTCTATTATATGATTAAGATGTGTCTGAGTTTTTTGTATATTTAAAATGAATAGGCAGTACTTCCAAAGAAGTAACTCCTTTATTTCAGCAGATTCATAGGGATTATAGCACTCCTAGGAGAAAATTAGTATTAACTCATTAAAAAGTTGCCTGTGGTATTCTTTTAGGGTATAATTTTTCTAGAATTCATATGTATTAATGAGCATACACATATACACATAGATCAGTGTTTTTGGTCGTTTGTTTCGTGTTTGTGTTTCAAACTGAGTAGTGTACCTGTTCGTTTCCTCTGATACATACTCTAATAACTACTTTTGGAGACAATGACATAGAGTAATAGGTGTTTGGAACCACAAAAAAGAATTTAAGTCTTTACCCAGTGATAAAAGTATAATGTAAGCCAGTTAGAGAATTCAATTGCAAACACCTGTTTTCCTCCCTTTGGATTTTTTTTTATCTTTATTTTAATTTTTTATTAGTACATGTTGCAATGCATAATACTTTCATTATGGGGAGTTGATACATACACATTTTGCATCTTAGTCCATAGTCTCTTTCTTCTATCCCTCCTCCCCTCTTCCTCTGTCCCTAGATACCCTTCTCATCTGCAAAAGGTCTACTGCCTTGGTTCTTACTGGCTTTTATTTTTTTAACATACATACATACATTTTTTGGAGGGGGGGATCAAACTCGGGACCTTGCGCTTTTGAGGCAGGTGGTGGAATCCCTGAGGTAAATTCCTGGTCCTTCTTACTGGCTTTTAGTTTGCTCTTTAAATTATTTATACTTTGGATTTCTCCTATAAGAGAAACCATGTGATATTTAACCCTCTATCTCTGAGTTATTTAACTTAGAAAATTATTTTTGAACGTAGACTTTGAGGGGCTGGGAATTTAGCTCAGTGGTGCTCCCCGCCTGCCTGGCAAGCAGAACGTCCTGAGTTCAATCCCCAGTACCGAAAAAACAGAAACAAAAACAAATAAAAAAAACCATACAGTTTGGATGAAATACCACAGAGACATTGTTTATCACCTGAAGGGTTAAATATAAATAAGGAATGTACTCTGTATTGCCAGACCACATGATGAATGGCTATTGCCCTAAAGAGGAAATATGAATAGCCAATAAAACAAATTAAACCAAAAACAGTTTACTCTCACTGTTAGTTATAAGAAAAATCAAAAGTATATATAATTTCTAATCACCAAACTACCCATTGTTTCTTGACATTACTCATTAATGAGAATGTAATAAGAGAGGTTCCTTCACATGCAGTTGGTAAGATGTAATGTGGCCAGGGCATTTCTGGAAGCCATTTTAACAATATTCCTAAAGTTGACATTTGTCCACCACTAACTGTGTGTGTGTCCCAGATGACACAGAGTGCCTGATAATCCACTGCCTGCAATCAGGCTCTTCATTTCCATGGCAGCCATTCAGAACCTCTCTTGTTTATTGTTCAAGTCTGAACTTCTCAGTAACTTTCACTATCTCATTTTGTTTCTCTTGATGGTGGTTTTCTTTGTTTTTTAATCCTTTTTTAAGTTCATTATTGTTCTGTGTAGGTCACTTGCACTGGGGTCCTCACTGAGATGCTACCCTGGCTACTCTTAACACAGTTATTGTTGAACTTCAAGTTAGAAGTTGTTATAGATGCTACTGGCAGTTTGTTAACTAGCATAGACCAAGAAAGCCCTGAAACATCCTGTAATACACAGATGTTCCCACAGAGCAAAGAGCCTTGCCCGAACTCAGTGGCATTAAAGTTGAAAGCCCTGCTGCTCTAAGTGAGCAGACAGATCATGCTTTAATGTTGGCAACTATTTACTGTTCCATAGAACTTTAATGTGTATTTCCAATTTCAGGGTAGTACTAAGTGAGCACATTCAGTAAGCCTTATCCATAATAATTCATTTATTAATATGTATGATTTCCCCCTTTCTAGGACCTGTTACTATGACTAGCGTCCATCCCCCAATTCGTTCACCTAGTGCCTCCAGTGTTGGGAGCCGGGGAAGGTAAACACCATTAACCGTGTTCTCTAGTGCAGTCACTTCTCAGTGTACATGAGGAATTGGTTTCAGGATCCTTCTGAGGTTATTAAAATCTGGATGTTCCAGTTCCTGCTAGAAAGTGGTATATTTGTATATGAGCTACACGTCTCCCCAGAAGTCTTTAAATCAGCTTTAGATTACTTATAATACCTAATACAAATAAATATATTAGTTGTTAGATTGTACTGTTTAGGGACTAATTACCCCTTCCTCCAAAGAAAGCCTGTATATGTTTAGTTTAGATATAATTTTTAAATCATATTGTCCATCCACAGTTTGTTGACTCCACAGATACTGTACATAAACTAGATTCTCTTGCTAGTGCTCCAAAGGTTTTATATCTGTGCACTTTGAACAACCTCTCATTATTTTAAATGTTTTAATTAAAATTTTAGTCATAATTATATTTTAAGCTGGTGAAAGAATTAAATACAAATTTATCTTTGAAGATAAAAAATTTGTATGTTGAAAATAAGAGTATGTTTTACATTAGCATAATAGCAAGGAGAAAAGGTATAACAGCACTATATAGAAATACTTACCAAAAAAAAAAAGTTAAAAAACAATTTGTTCCAGGCGTGGTGGCACACACCTTTAATCCCAGCACTCAGAAGGCTGAGGCAAGAGTATCGCTGTGAGTTCGAGACCAGCCTGGGCTGCATAGTGAGTTCCAGGTCAGTCTCAACTACATAGTGAGACCCTGTCTCAAAAAACCAATTTGTTAAAAAAAAAAAAAAAAAGAAAAGAAAAGAAAAAAGAAGTTAGAAATACCAATTTAAGGAAGAGAAACCCTTTTAACTATTGCTGTGATGTCTGAGTTTTCTAATGATCAGACATCAGTTCTACTTGAATTTGTAGTAGGTGAGACTCTTAGCTACCGCTCTGCTTTTATCATTATGCTTGAGAATTGCTCCTGGGTACTGAACTCAGTTCCTCCTGTCTTAGTCAAGTGAAAGAAGCCTCTCTGAGGGCACAGTTTGGAATATAACCCCATGAGAACATAGTGGCACTCTATGCCAGGTTTTTATCCCACTATCTTGTGTAAGTAGAACACCCCAGGTTTCCTAGTTTTCTTTATATTTGAACAACGAATTTTTATGTGAACTTCAAGTTGTTTTTGTTTGTTTTTGGTACCAGGGATCAAACTCAGGACTTGCGCTTGAGAGGCAAGCAGTGGAGCCACTGAGCTAAATCCCCAGTCCATCAAGTTGTTTTTGTCATGACCAGAGAAGATATTAAAACCTAAAAAAACAGAAGTTCTAAGATACCAACTTTTTTTTCCAGTACCAGGGATTGATCTTAGGACATTGTGCTTGCTAGGCAGGCACAGTGGGAGTGAGCTACATCTCAGGCCCTGATATCAACTCGTAATTGCCCAGTTGTGGAATCTCAAAATGTTGAAGTCAGTTTTATTTTATTTTAATTCAGATTTATTTACCTTTCCAGATTTATAGTGTAACTATATAGGTTACATTGTGAAGTTTTTATCTTTTCTCAAAATGAAACTTGTGCATATAGCAATCATAGTTTAGTTATGAAATACTTATTGTTATGTGATGTAGTTATTTTGAGATTATACGGCATATTTCAGAGTGTTCAGACTATGGTATAGTGTTTTTAGATTTTTTTCCCCCCCATCTTTTACAGCTCTGGTTCTTCCAGCAAACCAACCGGAGCTGATTCTACACACAAAGTCCCAGTAGTCATGCTGGAGCCAATTCGAATAAAACAAGAAAACAGTGGACCACCTGAAAATTATGATTTTCCCGTTGTTATAGTGAAGCAAGAATCAGATGAAGAATCTAGGCCTCAAAATGTAATTATATCAGTTCATGCGATACCATTCCTGATTGGGGGGTAAGAAAAGGGTAGTCCTCGGTATAGCAGCTCCTATAGAACGGTCTATAGTAGAACAGCAGAATCCTCGGGGAAATAGCTGAGCAAAAAAGATTATGTTGACAGGGTTAAAAGCCATTTTTTAACTTGGTGGAGATTGGCATGAAGATGGGTACCTGGAAAAATAAGCAAATGAAAAAAAAAAGTTATAACCAGTTCCTAACAAAACACTCTACAAAAGAAATGTAATTTTAGTACATTTTTTGGTTCTGCATTGGACAGTATATACATAGTCGGATGATGAAACAAATATCCAAATGCACATAGACCTTAAATTGATTTATCAGGATATAACCTAAAAAAATTTAATTTTAAAAATTAGGGGGACCTGGAATTTAGCTCAGTGGTGCCACCCTCTTGCCTCACAAGTGCAAGGACTTGAGTTCAATCCCTGGTGCCAGGAAAAAAAAAAAATTACTATTTTTCTGAATACCTGGCCAGTATAGATTCAATCCACCCTCTTGCCTCACAAGTGCAAGGACTTGAGTTCAATCCCTGGTGCCAGGAAAAAAAAAAATTACTATTTTTCTGAATACCTGGCCAGTATAGATTCAGGTCAGTTGGAGTATATGGTAGCCATAAACAGTTTTGCTTGCTCCTACCACCTAAAAAGTTAATGTTAATGCAGTCTACATTTAGAGAATGGACGGGTGCTGGCATTGCATGAGAGTCAGAATACAAAAGCCTAATCTGGATCATGCATAGCAGGAAAATTTCTTATATATGGCATTTGAAATTGAAAATTCAAGAATTTGCACTATGGCATTTTCTTTAGAAGTATGGAAGTAAGCTAGGCATAGTTGTATATGCCTATAATCCCAACTATTCAGGAGGCTGAGGCAGTAGGATCTTGAGTCAAGGCCACCCTGGGGAACATAGCAAGCCCCTCATCTCAACAAAAACAACAAATAAAAAAGGAAATGTGAAGGTAAATAGCAGAAGAAAAAGCGAAGTGTGAAAACAGTTGCTTCTAGGGAATGAGTGCTTTTAATATGTCTATATATATTAGTTGGAAATATTTTTTAAATGATAGGTAGAGATAGTTTTTGTTTTTGGTAAGAATTTTTCACTTCTAGTATCCGGCACAATTTAGATTCATCTTAGAAGTGTAATGTCTGTCTCAGGTGTGATTTGAATTTATAGCTGCAATGCATATATATTTACAGTTTGTGTGGCTGACTTCCACACTGCCACCCGTTCTCTAATTTTTGAACATGTGAGCATACCCAGGGTTTTCCTGTATTACCCACACCCTTCCTGCCCGTCACCTGTGTTGACAGATTCAGTAGAGCTCCAGTCTCTTCTGTCATTAGAGATTCCAGTGCAGTTCTCACTCGTTCAGCATACCAGGGGACCATGGAGAGCCCTCTGTAGTAAACACTGCTATAGTAACAGAAGTAATTTCAGAACACACACACTCATACGCATGCACATTGTTTTTTCTTTTATTGCAGACCAACTATCCAAGAAGCATACTTACTTCCCTGCTCTTAAATAGCAGTCAGAGCTCTGCTGCTGAGGAGACTGTTATAAGATCAGATGCCCCCGATAGCACAGGGGATCAGCCTGGACTTCACCAGGAGAACTCCTCCAGTGGGAAGTCTGAGTGGCTCAATGCCTCCCAGAAGTCACCCCTTCATGTTGGGGAGTCAAGGAAGGAGGATGACCCCAATGAGGACTGGTGTGCAGTTTGTCAAAATGGAGGAGAACTGCTGTGCTGTGAGAAGTGTCCAAAAGTTTTCCACCTCTCTTGTCATGTCCCCACATTGACAAATTTTCCAAGGTAAGATACTCCTTCTCGCATTCTTTTGCTATGAATCATAGAGCAGGTATGGCTTGGGTGGCTCAGTGGAAGTGCATGTAGCACGCATATGCAAACCCCTGGATTCAATTCCCAGCTTTGCCAAAAAAAAAAAAAAAAGTTAAAATAATAGCCACAAACTTTGATGATCATGATAATCTAAAATCTTTTTTAAAATAAATAGAATTCCACTTGGCACAAATGCATCACTGTAAAGTCCCTAATAATAATCTAACTTTTCTTCTTCCTAGTCTTTTTTGAAAAAAACTAATCAGCTAGGCTGAGAGTGTAGCTCAGTGGTAGAGCACTTGCTTATTGTGTGCAGTGCCGTGGCTTCATTCCCAACATGGGAGTGGGGCGTACCTAGTCTGTTAAGAAAATTAAAAAACAAAAGCCCTCTTAAGTTAATGTGTATGTTTAAGATTAACATATATAATACATATAAACTTAATAATTTATTAATACATAAATATTTCAGACCTCCTTGACTAGGCTTTGATATTAACACTTAGGTCCTGGCTCACACCTGTAATCCCAGCACTCTGGAAAGCTGAGGCAGGAAAGGAGGATTGCAAGTTTGAGTCCAACCTGGGAATCCAAGCAACTTAGCAAGACCCTGCCTTAAAATAAAAAGGGATGGAGATACAGCTCCATGCAAGGGCCCTAAATTCAATGCCCAGTGCAGTTGATCAATCAGTCCCTGCTGTTTCTTCTCACAGCATGTGCTTTGTACCTACATGGTAAATATTTAGTGATTAAAATTCATGCCAAGTAAATCTGTATCCTAGATAGCATGGAGGACATGACAAGGGGAAGTGGTGAAGGGGGAGAATGCATTGCAAACTCAAAAATACATTATCTCAACAGTGGAGAGTGGATTTGTACTTTCTGCCGAGATTTATCTAAACCAGAAGTTGAGTATGATTGTGATGCTCCTAGTCACAATTTGGAAAAAAAGAAAACAGAAGGTCTTGTTAAATTAGCACCAATAGATAAAAGGGTAAGTCTTTGGACATTTCTACCCTAGTATGTTAGGCAATTTTTTTTATTAGATACATTAAATTTTATATTGATTTTTTTAAAGGAGTTTTTTAAATAGGGCAGTTGAAAACTAAACAGCAGATTACAGTGTTTTTCAATTTACCCAGGAGGTATGTGTGGGAGAGAGAGAGAGAGACAGAGAGAGAGAGAGAGTGAAAGAGAGAGAGTGAGTTGGTTTAAACTACCTGCGCAGAATGGAACCTTAGCTTTTAAATTTAGTCTCCCTTGAGTAAAAGTCTTAACTTCATTTCATTCCTATCACATGTTTTGTTCCAGATAATTTGCTTAGAAGTGGCACCAGTGATCTGGGCTTCTATTTCCAATCTTCGGAAGTAATTCCATTCTTTCACTAAAAGTACTAGGTTTATTCATATCCAACTGATAGTTAAAGATTCAGGGTTAGCAGTTTGTTAAATTAAATAGAACACAGTATGAAAATGCCAAGCGAGATGGCCACAAACAGCACCAGGTCTTCACACAGTGCCTTCTAGGATAAACCTATCCAAGAGAAGTAGCAGAGGGGAGCCAAGGAAGAGTCCCCACCCTAGATCTCTTAACTAGATGTGGTCTTCTTTCCTAGCTGTTACTACAACACCCAGCCTGAAGTGGAAAGTAAAAAATGTAAAGAGCTTCAAATGTTTCTAGTGATATTCTCGGTTCAGTTAGTTACAAGGACTTTTTCAAATACCACATACATCCTAAACTGTCAGGCACTACAGTTAATGATTGGGAAGAAAAGCAAAACTCCAAGATCTAGTATCTTTCTTATATCCGTCTAGTTTTAATTCTTATACTTTGAGACTCATGGAATTCTTACTGGAAATAAGCAGTGACTTCCATTATGGATTTTTTCCCTTAGAAGTGTGAACGTCTACTTTTATTTCTTTACTGCCATGAAATGAGCCTGGCTTTTCAAGACCCTGTTCCTCTAACTGTAAGTATTAATGTAATCTTGTACGTGTTGACATAGTAAGACGTGGGCATTTGTTTTTTGGAAATTTTGTTTGCGTCCAGATTCTGTACCGTTTTCATTACTAAATAGGTGATCCAGATCTTAAAGTTTATTAATTCATATAGAATGCATTGGTTCCAAATAGCTATATTTTGACATTAACAAATTGATTGCAAGTTTATATTCTTCTGTTATTTTTCTCACCTCACCTAATTTACGTACTATTTGCATATGTTTTCCATGTTTTTAATCTCAGAAGATTTAGGTATACATCTTAAGCTACAGGGGAAAAAAATTCCTGACTTAAAAACCTTCCCACATATTTTCAGTACTTATTTTATTTATTTTTGGTACTGGGGAACAAACTCAGGACTTTGCACTGGTGAGGCAGGTGCAACACCACTGAACTAAATCCCGAGCTCTTCAGTATTTATTTTAATGTATAGGTCTAGACTTGTAGTAATAGGTGGACTTTAGCAACAGAAAGCAAGCTGAGAAAAGCATATGTTTCTGTGCTAACCATTCATTGCCTTCAAAAAGGTTCGTATTGAGAGTTTGATGCAACCTAATCTTGTATTCATGGAAAAAAGATCACAACCTAAAATATGTTCTCTTCCTGTTCTGTCTGAAATTTCTTTAAAAATTCAGTAAATTTGTCCTTACCGTGTATTAAGTTTTTTAAATTAATGCAAGGCTAGAAGAAAACTAACTTGGTAAATACATACATTTAACTGATAACCATCAGATTCTTTCTTGGGAACAAGTAGAGAAAGTTAGAGAAAGGAAATAAATAATTCCAGGGTAAAGGACCTTTCATACCCAGAAGAGGCAGAGCAAAGAAGTCAAATAGTAAGCCAGTGTAATGGGCACACCAAATCCCAACTCTCAGGAGGCTGAGGCAAGAGGATTGCCACAAGTTCAAAGCCAGCCTGGAGTGCATAGTGAGACTGTGTCTCAAAAAACAAAGCAAGGACCAACCCACACCCCTCCTCCCTGTCTCTCTTAGAGGCTTTCTCTCAGTAACTGCCCCAGGGTGCGGGAATCATATCAGGGCTTTGCCCTTACCAGGCAGGCATGGCACCTACTCTTTAAAAGAAAAAGTCAAAAGAAGCTTGTACTGCTAATCAGTACACACTTAAAAAAACTTAACTCAAAATTGATGTTTCAATGGTCTTGGCTTATAGATATATTTGTATTAGCAGCAGTAACAGGAAAATATACTTCATTTTCATTATGTGTCATCTTTTATTATATGTATAGTATATGTATATGTATATATTAATCCTATGAGGTTGCCAGTAATCTTCCTATTTGGAATATGAGGAAACTTTCAGTGATGTTAGATCACTTACCCAGGATCTTGCTGTTGAGTGGTAGAGCTGATAATCAAGCCCTTCTTCACAACTTTCTGTAATTCATGCAAGAAATATCAGATAATACTAGAAATAATATTTTCTAATAGTTGCTTTTATTTAATAATCAGAGATGGAAAATAGAGTTAAAGGAGAATAAATGAAGACTTGGCTTTTAATTTAAAATGATTGATTAAAACTTGAAAAACATAACATGGAACGCTTACCAATATGTGAACATCAGTAAGCCCCTTCTGTAAATGTTGCCAAACAGGTTTACTTACCAGTGATAAAATGCAAAATTGTTGTAAGAACAATCTGAACTTTCCTGTTACTTCTTACAGAATGTATTTAGGACTAGGTAGGATTCAGTTGTTGTGTTATAATATCTCATTTGTTTTAAAAGGTGCCTGATTATTACAAAATAATTAAAAATCCAATGGACTTATCAACCATAAAGAAAAGACTGCAAGAAGATTCTTCCTTATACACAAAGCCTGAAGATTTTGTAGCTGATTTCAGATTGATCTTTCAGAACTGTGCTGAATTCAATGAGGTGAGGTGGGAGGGCAGCCACAGAGTGAAAGTAATCTTACACCCAACATGCTGTCAACAAATGAGGAGACTGAGATGTCTGTCGGGGAATAAATGTCTGTGTTTTAGGTCTGTCTGGGTAGGAGAGAGGGAATTACGAAGACTTATCTATATTTATTTTCAAAGGTTTATTATATGGGAGTAGAAATAAATTATAACATAACTTGCCAATAATTTTAGAAAATACTCTTCTGGCCTAGAAGTTTTTGTCATTCTTTCTTTTATTTCTTGAAATGTGGGCTTTCAGAATTGTTTTTTGTTGTGCATTTTGAAATTGTAAGGATAAATCCAAAAAGTTCTCATTTAAAGTTTACTCATCTCTTCATCATCTAATCAGTCAGAAATACAGCCTTTGGGCCGGGGATTTAGCTCAGTGGTTCCGCCGCCTGCCTTGCAAGCACAAGGACCCGAGTTCGATCCCCAGTACCAACAAAAACAAAAAAGAAATACGGCCTTTGGTCAGTGGTTCATTCTGTGTATTACTCATTCTAGAATACCACGTTGCATTTACTTGATTCTAACAGTACTATTACGGCATTTTGTTGATTTATCTTCAATAATCCAGCCTGACCGCTAACACTTTCTGAACAAGCTATAGAAGTCTGTCTTTCATTTACCTTCTCTGGACTTAGTTTAGCTTCAGACATAAACATTTTCCACAACAATCCATTGATACTTATAATCTCAAGATTTCAAAGTGAACAGAAGTTTGAGAGATTACTTCTATTATTGACTGTCTAAAATGTTGGTCTTTATTTTTTAATTCTTTTTATTTTTATCCAACAGCCTGATTCAGAAGTAGCCAATGCTGGTATAAAACTTGAAAGCTATTTTGAAGAACTTCTAAAGAACCTTTATCCAGAAAAAAGGTTTCCTAAAGTAGAATTCAGGAATGAATCAGAAGATAATAAATTTAGTGATGATTCAGATGATGACTTTGTACAGCCGCGAAAGAAGCGCCTCAAAAGCATCGAGGAGCGCCAGTTGCTTAAATAAAGCAGCACCATTGGCGTATGTCTGTTGGAGATATTTTGTTTGTCAGTAATTTAACATCACTATAAAGAAGAGTTTGTGAGCTGTTTTTGATGTTTACTAGACTATTTCTTTAATAATCTTTTTCTTTTAACCTCTAAAAATAATGAAAAAGGAAAGGAAGGAAATGAATGGAAGAAAGAAAATGGAGGGGAGGGAGAAAGGAAGGTAGAAGAAAAGGAGAAAGAAGTATAAATAACAAAAAGACGTTCTTTCCACTTCTTGGATTCAAAACCACAATCTGGAGTGATAGCTACTATAGGAAGGAAATAGACTTTGTATGAACTCTTAAGTTGAAAAGTTAAGTGGTTTGAATGTGTGCGTTCATCCATTTTTAGAAAATTAATTCTACTACCCATTATTGCCCAGCCATAGACCTAGGTTTGAGGGGGATACCAGATGGTCTAACAAAAGGATTAGATTAGACGTCATTAAGAAGGTTCCTAACAGTATATTATGAGAGATGGCAATGGTATTTTTTAAAAAATCAGGAAAACAAATGCTTTTTGGTTTTTATCTTATCTGTAGAGGTGTTTGGTATAGCTGCTTTTCAAGGCCGGTGTTTCATAAATTTCTAGACCTAGATTTTCTTTAGCCTCTTCCCATGACACAAGGAAGTGAGCAGGTTTGGTTTTGGTGTGTGTCTATGTGTTGTTTGTTGTGGCTGTTGCTTTTTTTGTTTGTTTGTTTGTTTTAACTGTGTAGATTGTCATTTAATAACAGGGCTTTGGAGTATGGCTTTTAGTGGAATTACCCAGTTTTTAAATACAGCAGGGTGCACTGTATTTGATGTGAGTGAGATTTCTTCAGCATATGCCCTGTGGGGCACTAAATATAAGTTCCCCTAAAAGGGAATAATTTTGTTGTTGTTATATGTCGTTATAATTTCTAATGAAAATGTGATGTAGGATTTGGAACAGGCAGTTGCAGAAAATTATTAGTGACCGTATTTTTTCCTAAAGCATCTACTTCCTGGTTGGTTGGTTGGTTGACTTTTAAAGAATCAGAACCTCATATTTCATGTTTGATCTGAATTGGGGATTTCATTTTCAGTGACAGAGATATTTAAAAAACCGTCTTATGAGAACAGGTAAATTATTTTGTTTTTGTACTGGGGATTGTACTTGGGTCCTTGCACTTTTGAGGCGGGCAGCAGGACCACTGAACTAAATCCCTGGCCCAACAACAAGATATATTATTCTTTGTTTGTTTTTGGTTTTGGTACTGGGGATCAAACTTTGGTCCTTGTGCTTGCAAGGCAGGCAGCAGAACCACTGAGCTAAATCCCCAGCCCAACAACTGGTATATTCTTAATGGACAGGTCAAGCTATTGTAAGTGACATGCATATTTTACTTTTACTTTTACTTTTCAGTGTTCTTTTAGGATCAGATGACTTGTCAATGAAGGAAATTAGGTTAAGATAGAGGAGAATTACTGTGCCATACAGTAGTCCAACATTTTACAAAATACATATGAATATTTTTAGTTTTCCAAAGTAAACATTTCTTAATAAAACACTACAATTAATGTTTGATTGGAGAAAAGTTTTTTCTTTAGGATGACAAAATAAAATACAATTGAGTTCAAGAATTCTTGAGTTGTGCTGTCTCCTGTGAATTACATGTAGAGGACTTGCTTTTATCCTCATACCATTATTTTTTTAAATGGACAATTTGAAAATATTTTCTGGATAATTGAGTGGATTTTAACATTTTACTAAAGATAAAATACAAGCAGAAAATAACTTATTAGCAATACTTTTCCATTTTCTATATAGACTTGGGGTCTGTCCATACGTCAATTATGTATTGTTTTTTTTTTTAAGTTGTAATCACTTTTCAAAATAGTCTATAGTAATACTTGTTATGTTGTTTTGAAATGCATTTGACATTTATTTTCCAAAGACTATTTGAACAAACTTTGATACCATTACACACACCTTTTAGTTGTCTGTTTTGGTTGAGCATTTTTAGCATAGCAGCTAAGGAGCTTTGCTAATAAGTTTATTATAATTTCCTAAATATATCTCGTGGGTTTTTTTGTACCAGAAATGTAACTCAGCATCTTGTACTTGCCAGGCAGGCGGGGCACCACTGAGCTAAATCCCCAACCCAATTTCCTAAATATATCTGAACCAGAATTTCTACTAATGTATCCCAAACTGTCATGATTATATTCATAATCATAAGCCATATTATCTTTTCAAAATAGTATTTCTGTTTTGCCATGACCATCTTTAGCTGAGGGAAAGGCGGTTGAGAACTGTCTTTTGTCATTATACATAATAATGTAAATTATCATATTAACAGCAAATGTTTCATATTTCTCTATCCGGATAACCCTTTCATCAAGGTCTCAGCTCTTGTGACTGTTAACAAGTAACCATGTGCCCAGGAGGATTGCCACTAAACAGTCCTTAAATTCTGTTCTATTAGAAGCTTTACCAAGATCTTCTTTATACCCCACAGTCATTCTGAGAGACCCACCCCCCCTCTAGGGGAGGGGTTCAGTTCAGTATGATTCAGGGAATCTAGACCTAAACTTAATAACACTCCAGTGTTTACCTCTACCAAAAACTCAGCCTTCATTCTGGGTTTGGGACCAAGAGCCTAGTATCACAGCCATAGAACCCCCTTTGCCTAATATGACTGCATCTTACGGGAAGGGTGTGAACAAACTAGACAGTATCAGAGCTAGGATTTTCTCAATGCCAACTGAAGAACAGCTCTCCAACATGTGAAGCACCTGATCTTTGGCTGTAAGGAAGCCCAAGGACGTAATGACTGGACTGATAAACTCTTTACATCTGCAGCTGGCAATGTGACCCTTTTGTCCTTATCCTGCCCGGAGGGGTAGTAATGAAAGGACTAGAACAAAAATAAAATGCAGTACTGTCCTCTTCCATGGTAGTTTTACATTTTGAAGTTAAAGACTAGGCCTTAGGTTTTACTACCTGCCACACATAATATAGTCAAAAGGGTGAGTATACAACCAATTGCTCCATTTATGATTTTGGAATTTCAAAGTCCTCTGCTATTACACTGCTTACACTTTTAAATTTGACTTTGTTGAAGAGATGGTGAAAGAGAACTTTTGCTGAGGTCTAATCCAAATTAACTTGATTCCCAAAAGTTGTTGCATATGAGTGAAAGGTTTTTAGGTTTAAGTTGAAGATGTCCTTGGTTTCTTTTTTTACCTGTAATCATTATGAATGAGGGAAATCAAGCGATCTGATTGGCTATTAAAATTATGGTCATGACCTTGAGTCCAATCATTAATTTCATACTGAGCTTTTAAATAACCATGTACATATTTTTAAAGTATTTTATAGTGCCATGTAAATTGATAGTTGACAACTTTACATTTTGTTGTACCTTCAGCTTGGATGGGAATTTACCCAGTCATAATTCACATTCAGGTGATTCATGTTTCTGGCTGGGAACCTGCCAATCAGATCACAGATTTTTCCATGATGGTTTGCTGATTGTGACAGCTTTCGGAGGCAATAGTCTTTGCATTTGGGATTTTCTTTAAAAAATTTTTTTGGGAGCAGACTGGTGCTTTGATTTTAATAAAAATTAACTTTGATGAATTTTTACTGTGAATATTTTACCACAACAGACTAACGGAATAACTAATGTCATTTCAGTAGAATTTTATCTGGAGTCTTCCCTCATTTCTGCCTGTGTTTGTTGCTCTAGAATCAATACATATAGAGTTAAGCTACTAATCCATTAATAGCAAATGGGGAAACCTATGTATTTTGTTAACCCTTTTTTTTTAAGGGAAAATAGGAAGGAAAGAGTGATAAATAATTTCAATTGATATTTTACCCCAAAGTTAAGAGAGCCAACTTTGCCTTGGGAAATTCTGCTTGATTAGAACCCACTGTGGAAAGGAAGAGTAAGGCAGGGAGTGATTTACAAATCACTTTGAAAGTTTGTCCGTTTTAATTATTCCTTTAAAGTTTGGAAAAAGTTTTTATACTCAGAAATTATAACTACAATTTTTAAAAATCACTGTTGGGTATTTAATAGATCTTAATATAGTAGGGGCAACCTTTTATTTTAAAATTTTGGGGTTTTTTGGTTGTTTTGTTTTGATACTACAAATTGAATTCAAGGCCTCCTGCTTGCCAAACAGGCACTGTGCCACTGAGCTACATTTCTAGCCCGAAAATTAGTTTTAAAATAGAATAATCAAGTCCTGAAAAACATGTCCATGGTAATTACAAGTACAACATGTACCAGAATTTTACCTTGATCCATTTTCTATCGACTAGTCTACTATCCTCTACCATGTATCAGTAAACTTGAGGTTGTGAATTTTTTGTCCCTGTAAGAATGTCTTTAATCTCAAAACAAGTGAGCCAGAAAATTCAGGAGTCTTTCCATTGCCTGTGTCTAAAACCCTAGTTGTCATTGCTTTGGGTAAGGACAGACTATAGAGCTCAATCGGAGGTAAATACTCTTACTCTTGAGATGAGAAGATACTGGCCAGAGAAGTGACATTTCCCTAAGAAAACCAGGCTGTTCCAGGTACCATACTTTGACACTGTTGGTAATATCTAATTTGATTTGTTTAGAGAGTCATTGAGAGTGTATTGGAAGAAGCCCAAAGTAAGGGGTTTAGTATATATATATATACAGAAGGAAATTTTTCTGTTATACATAGTACTTTAGAGAGCCTTGAGGTCTTTTCTACATATGTATAGTTTTCAGACAGATTTGGCCTCTATCCTATTATATAAAGCTAAATGTAATTATGGAGAAACTAGATATATTTAAAACCTCAACCAGTATTATCTTTTGATGCTTTGTAAAACCAATCTAGAAAAGCTCTTACAGGTAAGTGACTTAGATTTGTTGACTTTCATTTCTACTAATGACTAATAGTGGTAAGTTTTCCCAAGCAACTCACTTGAGTTATCAAGAGTTTGTCAAATTTGTTTAATTAAAATTCTGACTGTAGTTTGCTGTAGATTAATGTGCCATCTCAGAAGCTTCAGTTCTGGACAGTGCTGGGCAGCATTGTACAGTTCCTTGGGTCTGGAGATCCACATACTGAGTTCTGAAATCCTTGGGAAGGTGCTTCACCACTGGTTCACTGGTCTTTGATTAGTGCTACCTTTCATTTTAATTATAAATAGCTGCTAACTCCAGCTTTGGGGTTTACAGTTATGGTTTGTGGTGGGTTGTTTGGCTAATTCTACAAGTGTAGCCACAACATCTTTGCATCAAATACATTTTGGCTTAAAATTTATGACTAGACTTTAAAATGGTCTTCCTGTTAGACAAATTCAGGCTGCTTTTGTGCCTGAAAGTTAATGGTTTAGGCTTGTGACAGAGCCCCTACAAAATTTTCAAAGCTTGGCCTGGGCCAATGATTTTTATCAGTGGTTCTGCCACCTGCTTCACAAATGCAAGGTCCCAAGTTGTATCCCCAGTACCAAAAACAAACAAAATTTACAAAGCTTAAAATACAATTGACCCTATATATCTATGAGAACCTCTATAGATTCAACTAATTGTAGTTCAAAAAATACTTGGAAAAGAATGTCAAATCCTACATATAATTCAAATTATAATTAGAGATTAAATGTCTATATAGGAAGATACAACTAAGTCATATGTAAATCGCCGTTTTATAAGAGACTTGAGCATCTTGAGGATTTGGGCCTAAGCAGAGGCACGTATAAACTACATGTGGTTCATTGATGCAACACTTCATTGATTGTAACTGAATCCAATTTTCATTGTAAAAATTGATCCCTGATACCAGGGAGGGGGCAGGGATTTAGCTCAGTGTTGCTGCCACCTGCCTTGCAAGTGCAAAGTCCCAAGTTCAGTCCTCGGTACCCAAAAAAAATTTTTTTCATTATAAAATAAGGGTGAGCCAACCTTGAGGTCCCTAACATCAGCAGGCCTCTACATTGAACAGCTATGAGAGGGCAAATGTCTTTCCACAGCATGCTATCCAAATAGGATATAGTGTGCAAACTGTGTTGTCATGTACACAGCATGGAAGCAATCCAGGATACAGGAAAGCTTAGCTTGCTGCATTCTTTAAATTTTATCACATCTGACAAATCAGAAATCCCCTCCCAATAAGGATATTAGAATAAAAATAGGGAGTACATGGAAAAAAGTTTACTCATATCTTCTTGGTAATTATAAGGTGTACTAATTTAAGCATTTAAGTTCTTTAGATATTTAAATTCTGAAATTTAATAATTTTAATTTGAACTGAATGGCCATTCTAGTTTGAAAGAGTTATTGATAGCAGGTTTGTTCTAAGCTACAAACCTGGTCTCATGCAAGAAAATCCACCTTCTTCCAACAGTAACCATTTACATACCTTTCCAATCTTGTTTTGTTTTTTTGTATCAGGGATTGAACTCAGGTCCTTGCTCTCGCAAGGCAGGTGGCAGAACCACTGAACTGAATCCCTGGCCACTACCTTTCCAATATTAAAGTATATCTTACAAAAGTTTACATTGATCTCCTCCCTTTGGTGATAGTATGTGAACAGTTACTCAGCTATATTCCCATGTGCACCTTATTCTTTTTAAATAAGTTTATTAACTCCCAGGTAGCCTAGAGAAATACATTCAAGTTTTAATAATTGCTCTATGAAGATGAAATTCATTTTTCTCCTCTGATAGATCCAGCTTTTAGGTCTTCATTTAATTTGCTGGGGAAAAAAAAATAATAGGTTAGAATACTTAAAATTGTTCATTCATACTAACCTAACACTAGCAACAAAAAGTTCCTTAATAAAATTTGGGAAATTAAGATTCAGCACTTTTGTGTACCTGCAAATGGAATTGTAGTTTTAGTTATTCCAGTCCAATACATAGATTTAGAAAAATTATAAACACACAAAAGTTTTTATGAGGTTTACCAAAATGATTACATTTAAACTAGTGACCGAGGTAATTTATCCAGAAAAAAATTACTGGAATACTATGTGTTACTGGAGTTAAAACTTTGACACATTCTTGTAAACATTTCTAGAAACTTCATAGTAAGTCCCTGACTTAGGAACATTCAAGTTGTGAACTTTCATACTGTATAAGATTCAGTTTGTGAGCTTATAAACAAATCCATCTTAAAAACAGTACTCCCAGAACTCTCATTTGTAAGTTGGGGACTTGCTGTATATAGTAAGTGCTCACAACACTGAGGTGAGTGTTTGTTCAATGTGCTCTTAGTTATGTATTGAACCTACATGTTAAGGTTCTAAGAAAATGATACTAGAAGAGCTGTAAACTGATAATGCAAAATCACCATAGCTCTAAATCCAAGCCCCAGTCAACTGAAATGGGGATTAGTCCTTTAGTGGTAAATAGGCCTTGAATTAGAAATCTGTGAGCAACCTTTAAGGCAGGAAGACATCATCGTTAAGATAGCTGCTCTTTACTAAATCCAATTATAAGGGCAGAGGACTACAAAGGCCTCTCACCATAGTAAATGCTTTTGGGCATTGTTTGTGTGAACAGTCGTAACTGCTGTAAAGGATAGCAGCTGGTACCACATTGAAGCCTTTGACTTCACTCTGAGGGAAAAGGATAGGCCAAGGTCTGAAGACCATGTGACCCTCAGAGCAGTGCTTAAATCCTGATAGGAAAGTGGAAGGGTGAAGAGCTGGAGCCTCATTCACTGTGGTCCCTCTTAGTAAAGCTATGACTTCCACAGGAAAAGATGTGAAGCGAATTATTACTCTGGCCTCAGTGCTACTCACCTGTAATATTTGCAAGACCAGAGACCCAGTTTTTATTTGGTGACCCACTGAGATTGTGTTGTCTGCTTAGAAAAGGGTGTTCATATACCAAATTTATACAGAAAGTGATAGTTGAGAGTGTCCCGTATCACTTACCTGTAGAGCCCGTCCTTTGGTCTCGATGGGAAGAGTAAATGCAGAAATGGCACACACAACACACACGGAAGAGAAAAGACACAGGGCTCCCAAGATTGATGCACTCATAAGAACCTGTAGGTCACGAGAATGACTCAATTCATTGTGTCCCAGATACCTCTGGATCTTTTGTATGGAAGGAAGGAGTCACTTTTTAAATCCCAGGTCTGTAAGGTATAAATTGCTGTCATTGGCATACTTGGGCCAAACTGATGTAGGAATCTGTGTGACTGGCATTAGTATGCACTGGTCAGTTTAGACTTCTACCTACCTTACCTGCCAGGCATCTCTAGAGCAAATTTCAGTATCTAGCAAAAATTGGAGATAGCCTGTTTTTCCACCCCTTAATGACAGTTCCCTTGATTTATTTTCTCTTAACATCTAGCCTCACCTGGTGGCTCACCTCTGCCAATCCATTACCTGCCTTCAGTTCTAATGGGGTGAAACAAGTTGTTTGGAAGAGATGTAATTTCAGAGGCTGAAAAGATTACTAACGTATCTTGTTTTTCAATTCCTGTGTGACACTTTGGGCTTCCTATTTGGTGTTCATTTTTCCACAGTAATAATGTGTTTCTTTCCATCCATCTACATCTTTTGGCCCAGATATTTTCACTCTGATAATAGCTAATTCATTATACTTCATTTGCTCCAGGGCTGTGTCCAAACTTGGCAGATTGGCACTTGGTTGTTAAACTAATGTTTGGTTTTTTTGAGAGGGTCTCACTTTGTAGTTCAAACTGGCCTCGAACTTGCCTTGGCCTCCCAAGTGCTGGGATTAAGATTTTGCACCACTAAGCCTGGCTTTTGTTAACTTACCTTAAAAAGGACAGTTAACTCTGAAATGATTTAGGGACAGTAAGGCTCTTTAGAGTCAAAATATTGCAAGAAAGAACTAGAAGCTTACCTGGTCTGGTCCAATCCCCTTACTTTGCACAGGAGCCTACACTAAATGACTTGTCTCAGTGATTATCACTCAGACTCATATACAGATTCTTGACAACCAGGCTAGTATTAGATTCTCCAAAGACACCCATCGGGGAGCTTACTGCCTTTGAAAATGGTAAGTAATTCCACTTACTGCAACAGAACTCCAACTTCACTAATTATCTGTAGTGCACCTGAAGAGGATAGAAACCAAGAGACGCCAGCCAGTTGAATTATGATCAAATCATACCAAAATAGGGCATGGATCTAGATTGTTGTGCTGCTGCTACTTCTACAGTTGGACCCCAGATTTCTCAGCCACCACCAGAGGGTCTTTAACTATCTTCACTTTTCACCAGTTTTAAAATATTTAAAATAAAATTTATTTTAAAAAATAACAATGATCCTTCAAAACTGAAAAGAACAAAACCAAAAAACAGAAGTCCTAGGTCACTTGAGATCCTTGATGCTTGAGTTTGGGTCATAGAATGTCTACAAGCCAGAGATGGTAACTACCTATTTTTGGCCTTCCTGGGTATAGGGCTTTGCTTCATAGCAATTCTAGTAATCCAGTATCTCATTACTGGAATATTGTTCCAATAAATACTGCCGAAGTTACGAAACTCAATTTCTGAATGTTTGCAGTGACCACTCCAGATTTCACTGTATCAAAATTAAAGAGGTCCTCTATAAAAAGCCCAGACCAGGGATGAAAAACATTACATGATGACTTAAAGGGTCAATCCTCAATCTAAAACTTGAAAGTTCACTCACCTAGAACTGAAAAGAGTGAGTCCACATATAGCTGGGAACTTTAACGTTCAACTTACCTAATAGAACTACTAAACAGCAAATCAGAGAACTTTATGATACCATCAACAGGATCTAATTGGCATTTGTAGAACAACCCAACATCATCAAAATACATCTTTGTCAGGGCTCATGGAACATTCACCAAAATCATACTAAAGACCATAAAATGAAACTCAGTTGTTATAATTGAATTCAGAATGTGTTGTAGCTAGTGTTATCTGGAAAGAGCAAGTTGACGGCAAAATCAAATCTCTAAAGATACAGGTCAAGTCTCAAAATTTTTAAACACATTGGAAAAGAAACATTAAATTAGTGAGACAGGTGACAGGAACAAGAGTAAGATATTTAGGCATAAACATGCTTACAAAAATCAACATTATTTTACTTATTTAAAAAGTTTGAGACTTAGGGCTAGGGATTTAGCTCACTGCCTGGCAAGCACAATGTCTTGGTACCAAAAAAATGTGTTCTGTAAAAATATAATTCTCATCAAAGTAATTAATTCTAATTAATTAATCAAAATCCCAGTAGGACTTTTGTAATCAGTTTGGGGAATACAATTGATGGTTGATATGAAAAAAATCAACATGTAAGAAATACCACAAAACCTGAAAACCATGGGGTGGGGAAATCTAGGGGGGTTTTATTACTTTAAAAATCATTTTGTAAGAACCACCTAGCACAAATTGTTCTTAACAGTGTTGGTTCCAGAGTAGATTAATAAAGCAGTCACAACAATATGCCCACAATATCTATGGACGTGGTTGTATTAGGATAGGGGCATATTAAGTCAGTTGAGGGCAGGCCAACAAGCAATAAAGCAGCTTTGCTGCTTTTGAGAGCTAGATCCTTACCTCGGGCTTGATGGGTAAATACACTGTGACTGGATCAAAGAATTTAATGTTTTGTCTTAAAAGCCTTTGGACCTAAATATTTTCAGAAATGGACAAATAGGCAGTGTGCACCATTCAAGAATGACATCTTAAGTGGAAAACCAGTAAATTGATTATACGTAACAGTACATGTAACCATACACACACATACATATATATAAATACATACACATATATATACATATACATACTTGCTAGTAAAACCAAAAGGTAAACTAAAAATATCTATTGTGCAATAAGACCTAAATAGACTATGGGAAAACAGCAAATCACATAAGCAGTTTTACAAAAGATACATAGTGAAAGATTCTCATCTTTGCTAAATGAACAGAGTCCAAGTGAAGGTAAGATGTAATTTACTATCTCCCAGATAAAAGTTTAAAAGCTTATTCTCCCTTTGATCAGGCATATTAAAGACCTTTTACAGTGAGCACATTCAGATGGCCCAGAGTGCTCATCTCTAGCTCAGGGAATGCAAAACCAACAAGGAGAGGCCATCATTTCTCACCAGTTAGGATAGCTGTTATAATAGCAGAGGCCTGGGTGTGTGGCTCAATTGTACACTTGCTTGGCAGGTACAAAGCTCTGGCTTCAGTCCTCAGCATTTGGGCGGGGTGGGGGGTGTCGATAAGACAACCTTTATAAATTGGTTGAGAATGTGGATTGGGGCAGCGATTATACAAAATTGTTTATAGGTTCCTACACCTACCCAAAGAAAAGGATGTTATCACATAATTATGGAGTTTCACAGAAGTGTCTGGTACTGGGGGTAGAACCCCCAGCCCTCTGCCTTTTTGAGAATAGCTAGCCTAACTGGTGAGAGATGGCCTCTTGTGGTTACAATCACTTAGTTTAAAATTAAACACTTTTGCCTAAAAATTACCCAACAGACTTCCTACAAAAGTCGGCTTTTTTGTCAGGCATAGTCTAGAATCTCCCTTACTATATGTTCACTGTTTCCTGTTTTTTTCTTAGCTACATTATACCAGTTAACACTGTCCCTTGTTTAGTCTCCATTAGGATGTAACTTTAAAGAATCTAGAAACTACTATGCAGTGTCTAGAATAGAAGAGCTCAATGAGCAAATACTAAGATTTAAATAAACAAAAATGTACTCATCGCTGAGGAAATGACTTGAGTCATAGCAGTCCATGTAATGGAACCTTTGTCCCTACTTAAAGAATGAGGTTGAGCTCATGTTGACATAATGTTGAGAACGGCAATTCCAGTGGTATATGTACCTCATACAGGTGTATGTGTTTACACAAATAGTTACACCCGTTGTGGAGATAGCAGAGTAAGATGGAGTCTGACACTGCCTGGTGTTTGCTTTCGTAGTGAGCTCCAGGCCATTTCCCAGGTTTTGCCTAATCTTTCCGACCTGCTTAAGAAGACTTCTCTGCTCTCTGGGGAGGACGGGGCCTCTCCTGTCTGAAGATTCAAATCAGGTTCAAGGGGAATGTCCATTTACCTCTGTGATGACCATAAAATAGTTACAAAGATTTATGAAATATAACTACATGCACATGGATATAGTACATAGTCTATACATACATAGAACGTATATGTACACAGACCTACATTTGTAAATGTTACTGTTACTCAAGACAGCATATGCACTAAGAAGTACCAGGAAAAATACACTCAAAACTACTATCTGCTTGTGTCTGATAACAATTTCTGGAAATTTTTTTTTCCTTAATTGTATATTTCTGTATTTGAGATTTTACAACCAGTGGGTTTTTATAAGAAAAAATGTAAATGATTATAAATAGCTGGGCTTGGTGGCACACACCTGTAGTCCCAGCACTTGGGAGGTTGAGGCAGGAGGATAGCTGTGAGTTCGAGACCAGCCTGGGCTACATAGTTCCAGGTCAGTCTCAACTACATAGTGAGACCCTGTCTCAAAAATAAAAATGAATTATCATAAACATTGTTAATATAAAACGAGAAACAGTTCAAAGTTTTAAAAAGCTAATCAATATACTGCAACAGAATGCCCAAAAAAGCTATTAGGAAAAACACAAGTCCAGTTGATAAAGAACTTTTAGAAAAATTAATAAAGCCCTATAAGTAAAAGTGGAAAAATTACAAAATGGAGAGTGAAATATCAGTGTGGAGCACACATCTGCAATCCCAGCACTCTGGAGGATAAGGCCAGAGGACAGTGAGCTCCAGGCTACCTGGGCTGCATAGCAAGTTCAAGGGCAGCCCAGACTAAGTGAGACCCTGTCTCAATAAGACAAAACAAAAAATGAAACCATTACTACTAACAGGAAGTGAAAAGATTAAATAATGCTTCCCACAGTTCATTCTAATAAATTTGGACAGAGCAGCCAATAAAAATTTCCCTGACATTCAGATAAAAGACCCAAGGAAAGATCTCACGATAATGGCCAAAGAAATACAGTACATCACAGCAAAAACAGGATTCAGCCTTTCACC